CTGATAAAAGTCTTGTCGATCCCAACAGCAACAAATAATAACTTAACTTCTATTGATCTTTTGGAAAAGTGACAGAAGGTGGATTTTTCTGATGAATCATCTGTTGAACTGCATCCCAATCATTACAAATACTGCAGAAGACCTATTGGAACCTGCATGGACTCAAGATTCTCACACAAATCAGTCAAGTTTGGTGAAGGAAAAATCATGGTTTGGGGTTACATTCATGGTTTGGGGCCGGTGAGAGATCTGCAGAGTGGATGGCAACATCAACAGCCTGAGGTTTCAAGACATTTGTGCTGCCTATTACATTACAAACCACAGAAGAGGGCAAATTCTTCAGCAGGATAGCGCTCCTCATACTTCAGCCTCCACATCAAAGATCCTGAAAGTAAATAAGCTCAAGGTGCTCCGGGTTTGGCCAGCCCAGTCACCAGACATAAACATTATTGAGCATGTCTGGGCTAAGATGGAGGACGAATTGAAGATGAATCCAAATTCTCTTGATGAACTCTGGGAGTCCTGCAAGAACGCTTTCTTTGCCATTCCAGATGACTTTATTAATAAATGATTTGAGTCATTGCAGAGATGTATGGATGCAGTCCTCCAAGCTCATAGGAGTTTGACACAATATTCATTATTTTTCCTTTTTCCTATAAAGTACATGATTTCTGTTAAGTGACAAGACTTTTGTCTCAGCAAGACCTTACTGTCCTAATTAAATAATAAAAAAAATCAAGGCATGATCATATTATATTTTGGTCAAATAAGCGTAATCTAGATGCATTTACCTTTTATATAAAGGTAAGCCACTTCTGATACCAACTGATCAACTAGAAGTCAAGTTATTACTTGTTGTTCCTAAAACATGGATACGCGACAAGACTTTTATAAGGTATAGTGTATAATTATGATTAGACAAGATTCAACTGAATAAATTAGCCAACACAAATGATAATAAAAAGGATAAAAAAATGGTCTTTTGAGGTGCAGCTTGCTTCTTGTTCAAACTACTTATTACAATGAGCTGAAACAACACAATTATGGAGATTTTTTGGGACAACCTAATTGTTTTAGGTTCAATCCACTTAAATTTGTTACATGAACTTCATGGATTTGTGTTGGGTGAACATAAATGAATTGTGTGGAAGCATACATTTTTTACTATGTAGTTCATCCAAAAATGAAAATTTACTCATTATACTATCCATCAAGTGGTGTTCTTTCTTTTCTTTAACACAAAGATAATTAAGAATTCTTAAACATTTAAATACAACAGAGCAGTGGTGTAGTCCTAAAAAAAAGAAAGGTGGTGTACTATTACACCCGACACAATTTTTAAATTAAAGTAGGCAAAGAAACGACGAAAGTCAATGTTTTCTGGATTTATTGGAGATTTTACACACACACACACACATATATATATATATATATATATATATATAAATTTTCCCACTCAAAAGGGTCTCTGCATAGATGGAAAACAGCTTTTTAGCTTACTTTCTTTACTGGCTTATTACTTTACAATTTATAGGTTCCTTTAAACATCAATCAGCTATTATTTTTAATTGTCACATTCGTGCATGCTTGTTTTAAACCAAACTATTAGGAGTCTGTCTTCTCGCTATTATATACTAGTAGTTACCCTTTTAAATTGCACATTGTTATCCGATTTATGAGTAGGCTTTGCCTCATCATTTTTAGTGTTATATATACTGTGTATAGTGTCGTTCACTGTAGCGGCACAATTAAGACAAATAAGGAATACAGTTTTACAGGGGCGATTTTAGGATTTTCATTTTGGATCAGGATCAGATCCTTTTGGGGTAAACAAAGAAAAATGTGTCATATATATTTTTAAGTAAGAATTGTAAGAAATGGGCACATCTTAACAAATTAAGTTGTGAGTCAAAAAAACCTGTTTGGTATACAGTTAAAGGGGACGTGAATACACGTAAATTAGAGAAGTTTAATCAGAAAAACAAGTGAGTATACTGAGGGTATACTTAATTATTGATCCTCAGAAGTGGTAATACCCAAACAGCTCATGAAAAAAAGTAAGTAAACTGAGTATACGTGCGTATAGCAAGGACTACACCACTGCTACAGAGTAAAAATAAACACTACACATGTCAATGGTTATAGGTTTCCATCTTTCTTCAAAATACCTTCTTTTGCATTTGACAGAATAAAGAAAACCAAACATATCTGGAACAAGTAAAGAGTGATCAAATGATGACAGAACTTTTCAGGTTTGGGTGAACTGTCCCTTTAAGGACCTTTTCCTGCTAAAATCAAAAGAATGTGTCAGTGTCAGTTACGTGCCCAGTCTTTTCAGTATCCATTATACAGTCAGACATTGCATGATATCAGGTGTTTTAAAAGCACATCCAGCTTTAAGTCTAATAAGCTTGATTTTTTCCGAGCAGCATACACTGTAAAAGCATATACTGTACACACTATCAAACAATCGCAGCAGAAGGCTGATCAAAGGCTTACTGTATATGAAATATGTATTACCTGGCCTTTTATAACCCTGAGTACAGTGAGTGTATGGCAGGCCGGTGTGATTCACGAGGCTCTATCTGATCCGGTTCTGCTCTTTATTAGTTGTAATTGAAGAGCATTAGGATAAAGCAAGTGGCACTTGACAACAAAAACAAAGCACTTGAGCCAGTGATGTCATCAGATAATAAGTGCACTCTCTGAATGGACAAAACATTACGATGAGCAAGAAATCTCAAACCACTGGATAGAAAACCCTAATGTACATTGTCAAAAATGCACACAGTGTTTGGACAGCATGAAGAACTTAAGTTGACTTGTTAGTTTTTACACATTTAAGTGAATTTAACATAAAACAGTTAAGATATATACACAAGGTGGGCCATTTGTATGGATACTCCTTAATAAAATAGGAATGGTTGGGGATTTTAACGTCCTGTTTGTGGCACATTAGTATATGTGAGGGGGCAAACTTTTCAAGATGGGTGATGACCATGGTGGCCATTTTGAAGTCGGCCATCTTGGATCCTACTTTTGTTCTTTAATAAGAAGGGGGTCATTTGACACATCAAACTTATTGGGAATTTCATAAGAAAAGCAATGGTGTGCTTGGTTTTTACGTAACTTTATTCTTTCGTGAGTTATTTACAAGTTTCTGACCACTTATAAAATGTGTTCAATGTGCTGCCCATTGTGTTGGATTGTCAATGCAACCATCTTCTCCCACTCTTCACACACTGATAGGAACACCGCAGGAGAAATGCCAGCACAGGCTTCCAGTGTCCGTAGTTTCAGGTGCTGCACATCTTCTATATATACTAATGTGTCACAAACAGGACGTTAATATATCACCAACCATTCCCATTTTTTTAAGGTGTATCCATATAAATGGCCTACCCTGTATTTATATATTCTGACACATCCTTTAAATATTTGACTGGGACACACTTTATATTATCATCCTAACAACTACATTCTAGTATTTAATTGTTTGATACGACTCATTATTTACTGTACATATATGTCAGGAATAATGGCCTTGTGGCCTCATGAGCACCTCAAATGTGCATTATATTCCAATAATTCAATAGGCCGAGACAATTACTCCGCTTATACTATGATTACCACATTTAAGGCACCGTTCAGATTTTGTATTCCAAGACATTTGTCAGGCTCTCTCTAAAGGACGCTCTTACCACAGTCAACCTTTGCATTTATCAGTGTCAAGTATGTTATTTTTATTTTACGAATATTTTAATTACCAATGGTAGTAAAAAAATACAAAACCTGTCGCAAAATGTCAACAGTGCTTGAGGAAATTATTTGAAATTTTTAGATAAGTGTTTGCACCCTGAGGCAGGTTTTATTAGCATTTAGCATTAACAAAAAACAAAATGGCTACTGCATGAAATCCATATATGCTTTGGCGAAAGAAAGGAATGTTGCATTCCTTGTAAAGTGTCCTTGAGCTCTGGAAAGAGGCTATAAAAATAAAAATTATTATTATTATTATTATTATTATTATTATTATTATTGTTAAATGAAGTAATGTCAAGACACCCACAGATTTTTATCGTCTGCGTCTTTAAAAAGGAACTTTTTAAACAATGAAATACTTGTTGCGAGTCTTTTAATACAGTAATTGACGGATTCAATGTATTTGATGGATAAATTTGCTACAAAATTACCACTGTCAGATGTGTCGTATCTGTCAGATAAATATTTTAATAATCATTAATTTAATTTTATATTTGTTAAATAATAGTTGGTCATTAATAAATGCAGTCTGTTTGCTTAAATAAATGTTTAAACATATTTGTTGCTATTTGGTGTCTGATGTTGAGGGCATGGAAAATAATATCAACGTTATGTTATTTAAAACAAATCGAAAAATTGCGAGGTTGGATCAAAGCACTGTGTTTCGGTAGCTTGTGACATATAAGGTGCAAAAATGTGGTTTTATTTGTCTCAGTAAAAGTAAAATATGTATATATTTTTGCACCTTTTTGTCCCACTCCTCAATAATCAGTGAACAAAGCGGCGAATATAAAAAATAACACCATGAAGACTAACTGACATGTAGTAGCAAATTTACTTATCGTTAACTTTAAACATTAATTTGACGATAACGTTTATTATATAAACAAACAAAATGTAAAAGTGTTTAGTACCTACTTTGGTATCTGCCCCAAGAAACACGACAATATTTCGTGACGTTTATAATACAGAATTTGTAAGGTAAAAGCTCCCTCTAGTGGTGAGAGTAAACATCACATAACTTTAGAACAGGCTTAGAAATTGAGAAATTATCTTCGTTTAATAAATTAAAATTAACTCGTAGCAATTTTTATGGAAGGTATTTTAATGTTTTTTTTTTTTTCTGTTACATGTAAAAAGACATTTAAAAAGTCTTCCTATGTCACGGGTGTCGTTGTACTGTGACGCGATGGTGACGTCTCGGAGGGGGAAGTTGTTGTTTGTTTTGCTCGTCTATTGTAGCAGTGGAGCAGCAACCGGTGAAACCAGAGTCCCTGGTCCCGGAATAAAGACAGAAATGTGCCGATGAGTCTCTCGTGTGGTTGAGTCTGTAGTCGACGACGGAATGGAGGTGGTGGACAGTCCTCTCAATCTCGTAAGTGTCTGTTTACAAGCCACATTAGCACGCTAGCCGCTGTTAGCTTAGCCGCATGACATATGTGAAGAGTATAAAATAAAAGCTGCGAAGAGGTTCACCTGTCCTAAAAACACATGCAGTCATTTATCATTTATTCTGAATTCATTCAACCGGGATGTAAAGGCTTCGTATAAACCGTGAGCTGTATTTCGTGTGGTCTGTTTTTAGTTAACGTTAGCCTTTATATGTGTGTTTGTTTACCTCTGACAGCTGATCATTTTTAAACAAACACGCAGTAGGTGGCTTCACTGATATTGGTTTCTGTGTAGTTTTATTATTTTATCATAGTCTTAATTAACATTTATAAAGGTCGTGCGCTTTTAATGAGATTTCCCTAAAGTGATTCTGAGATCACCAGTAAACAGTTTAAAGGGGACCTACTATGCAAAAAAAAAATCACTTTAATAAGGAGTTTAATCTACTATTTTCAATAATAAAACTTGACAAAAATGGTCTTCAGAAATACTGACATTTTCTCTTTGTACATCTTATAGAGTGGAGAAGTCCCGCCCATTAGTAACGATCTGTCCCTCATTTGCATAAATAGCCCTTAGTGATAAGCAGCTGACCATGTTAGAGATTTTACTGTACCTGCTGAAGATAATGGCACTGACTGAGGCATTATAATTGTGGAGTGAACACAGTTGTATCTATAGACTACCTTCATCTGAGACACTTCTTTTCACATCTTCATTTTTCCACAAAGATAACCTTAGACCTGTTTTTGAATCTGCCACTATGCTGACACATAGGTTACAATCTTTTGTAGAGTTACAATCTTGTTTAAATTTAAAGTGACAGTCACCAAAACGGCACAATTTGGATCAAAACCTAAAATGGACAGTTTCAGAGTTATAAAAACGTGTTTGTGAGGTATTTTGAGCTGAAACTTCACATACACACTCTAGGGACATCAGAGATGTTTTTTACATCTTGTATAAATGACATACTAGATCCCCTTTAATTGTTTTTTTATTGGATCTTTTCTTGTGAAGGCTCTAATATAGTTGCAAGAACATAAATAACAAAAGTATACAATACAAAGTACAATATAATTATTTTAATACAGTGCTCACCAGTAATGTTCACACCCTTGGAAAATATGAGCAAAGAACTCTTGAGAAAAAATGTCTTTATTGTTTAACCTTTTGATATTTTGCTCTAAATATTAACAAAAAACAACTGCAAATAGAGCACATGTATATAAATATTAGTGCTGGGCAAAGGTTAATAAAATATGTATCTTATTTGTATGTATTTTATATCTAAATATAAATAAACAGTTCTCAAATATATGCAGCATGTGTGTGTGTATGTGTATATATATGTGTATATATATATATATATATATATATATATGTGTATATATATATATATATATATATATATATATATATATATATATATATATATATATATATATATATATATATATATTGAGTATGCACAGTACACACATTTAAATGATATAAAAAACAAGCTTTTATTTTGCTGGTGCGTGCGTGTATAAGCAATTCCATGCAAATGTCAACCTTGCCATAAAAAAACTAAGCTTCAACCAAAAGTTTCTTCGTCACGTCCATAACGCATGTTTACTTTCCTCATTAAAAATATAAGACATGTTTACAGATGTATATATTTATGTTCCCATAACTCTGTGGTTAGTTGTTTTGAAAAAGGTAAACATATTTTTCAATATAATGTTAACAAATACTTTCTCTGTGAATTTAAGTTTGGAGTTTTACTGCAAATGTCACATCCATAACGCTGGAATTGCTCATATATATATATATGGGTTCAAATCATCGCATCAAAATATATACACAAACTGACAAAAGTCTTGTCATTGATCCCAGTTGTAAGAGCAACAAAAAAACCTTGACTTTTAGTTGATCATTTTAGTTGAAAAGTGAACTGTTGAACTGCATCCCAATCATCACAAATACTGCAGAAATATTGGAACCTGCATGGAGCCAAGATTCTCACTGAGAATGAGAATGGTTTGGTGAAGGAAAAATCATGGTTTGGGGTTGCATTCAGTATGGGGGCGTGCAAGAACGTAAATAAGCTCAAGGTGCTCCAGGATTGGCCAGCCCAGTCACCAAACATGAACATTATTGAGCATGTCCGGGGTAACATGGAGGAGTCATTGAAGATGAATCCAAAGAATCTTGATGAACTCTGGGAGTCCTGCAAGAACGCTTTCTTTGCCATTTCAGATGACTTTATTAATAAGTGATTTGAGTCATTGCAGAGATGTATGGATGCAGTCCTCCAAGCTCATGGGAGTCATACACAATATTAAATCTTTTTCCACTGCACCATTTCTTTATATTCTATACTGGACATTATTTCTGTTAAGTGACAAAACTTTTGTCTAAGCGAAGTCCTAATTAAAAAATTAAAAATCAAGGCATGATCATATTTTATTTTGGTAAAATAAGAGTAATCTAGAGACCTTTGCCTTTCAAATAAACCACTTCTGATACCAAATGATCAATTATAAGTCAAGTTAATTTTTGTTGTTTGGAACTTGGATGGGAGACAAGACTTTAGTCAGGTAGTACACACTGCTTTAAAGTGACAAAAGCTGATAAAGACCTTTTTTTATATAGATAAATGTATTGGATACTTGTGATCTTTTATTTGATTATTTTTAGATTATATGTAACTACAGTTTAAGAAACACTCAACATATTAGAAATTCTTTACAAAGCGCAAATTCAGCGTTATTAAGAATACATTTATTTGTCAGTGGAAGCAAAAACATCTGACCACCTGTACAAAGAATTCACATATTTATTACTTTACTAACATACCTACTATAAAGTTTCAAATAGATTCTGAATGTCAGATGTTCCAATCTTCAGAATACATTCTTGTGCTCGGAGTTAAAGGGATAGTTCACCCAAAATATAAATAGTCATCATTTATACTCGCCCTTGTCCAAAACTTATTTGGCGTTCTTTCTTCTGTTGAACACGCACACAAACAAAGATATTTTAAGAATTCTGGTTGATGGCACCCATTGAATTAGTAATTCATTTTCAATCTAGGCTCATTCTGAAAATGTATTCCCTTGGACGTTTCTGGGGACTGCGAATTATTTCCCGGGAGGTTTGTTTTCGCGAATCCACGAGAGGCTTTTTCGAATCCCAAATTTTTCTCGTGAGTGCCATTCACGCCCGCGCTGTTCTCGCGTAAACCTACCAGAGGCCGCTGTCAAGTGACCATCTGTCTAACTGACTGAATGGCCAACTGGGCGACCGGCCAATCGACGGAGCCACCCTCCTTCTTCCCTCAACCCAACTAATTTTACTAATTGACCCGCCCTCCGCTTACTTACCTAAACCCAACCGACGGTTTACAAAAGCTGTCCAGAAAAAAAAAAAGCCCTCGTCTGATTTTTACCACGATTTCGGATTTTACCCCATTCTCACCCTGTTATTCACTCGTCACTTTTTTTTTGGATTCTGTTTTTGTCTTACCTGATTTCTGCAACCGCTCTTCCCCCGGACTGAAACCCCGTCGTCATTGTAGTCAACTCCTCTCTGCGCCTTAAGTCCACCGAAATACACAACGAGCTAACTGGACAAACTGAATGCAGCAGGAAGCCCTCCACACGGAGGTAAGCAGTCAGCCGGTACGCGCGAAAAGGAACGGCATCATACCGCCTCGTAGCGTTTGCTTAAAAAAAAGAAATGCAGCTATATGTATCTCCGGCTATATAATTGGCGGTCTCCAGAAATGTCCATGGGACTACGTTTTCAGAATGAGCCTGTGTTGTTTATTTTTTTTTTACTATGGAAGTCGATGGACGCCAGTTACCAGCATTCTTCGCAATATCTTCTTTTGTATTCAGTAGAAGAAAGAAACTCATAAAGGTGTAAAAACACACAAGGAGAGTTGATGATCCGTAATTTCTTTCTTTTTTAGGTGAAGTATCCCTTTAATACAGTTGTCTAGGTGCAAAAATTTTTTAAAATTGCTTAGCTTGAAATGAGCTTAATGATGGAGGGTTTGAAGATGATATTTGATGAACCATTACTGTAAAGTAAGTAGATCTGAGTACAGTACAGTGTTGGAGGGATGACAGAAGTATTGACAGCTCGCTTTAAATAGACTTTCACTGTGACTGAAAGGATTAGATGAACTTCCATTAGAACTTGATGTAGGTTTAGAGTTAATCAGGGCTAATGTCATTTATCTGTGCTGTAATTAGTTTTCAGTGCTAACTGAACCCATCACGATGAAGTCATGTGAAGAGCTGTATCCTCTCTTTTAGGCCCATCAGCAGTGCAGGAAGGCAGACCGCTTGCTGGCCGCTGGGAAATTTGAAGATGCCATCTCCTGCCACAGAAAAGCTGCAGGTTGATTTCTGTTTTAATCCCTGTTCAGAAGATAATTCTCATCAAGACATCTGGAAATAAATGTTGACTGCCTTAGTGATGAAACTCATGCACTCATGAACAAAATGCTATTGTTTGGACTAGAATTAAATGACTATTTAGTTGAATGATAGGGAAAAAAATCTCATATTTGTCATTTAGTTATTGAAATAATTCAATTTTTAAAACAAAATATGATAGTTTAAGTGGTTTTCTGTCTCTTCATTTTATATTTTACATGTCATTTGAGAATATGTGGATATAATGGAAATATGGCAACACAGACTCTTATTTATGTTACTTGTTTGACCCGTATGATTGGTTTAGCAAGGCCATGTTCATTTGCATAAATGTAGAATGTAAGCGTTTGTAAGCATTAATATATAAGTACTTGCACATTACACTATAGTAAGTAAATATTTCACATGACACTCACCAGAAACTGCAAATATCCAAACAGCCAATTACTTTGCAGGTCGTTGGCGAATTTAGGAATGCAATCGTGGTCGATATGATACACATCAATTCAAAATAAGCACTAAAATGGAAATGAAAAGAGAAGTAAATGACTTTAAATTAGTGTTGTCACAATACTGGAATTCGCTACCAATCTGTACCGAAATTTTAAAAATGTTCATTTCCCGTTAACATTTGTGCGCGTTCTTATACAGCTCTGATTTGCCATTGTGTTCTGGTGCTTAACAGAAATGACCGAACTCACCACTGTTCACTGAGTGTAACTACAGATATACAGACACTAGAGCGTTTTAAAGCTGGTCTGTTTATAAGCTGACATACGAGTGATCCGCTGATGAATCGACTGATCTTCAATGGCTTTAAAACGCTCTGGTGTCTGTATATCTGTAGTGACAGATATACAGCATTCACCCTTTACTATAGTAGAGCCAAGTCTTCATATTTAAAGAGCTTCCCTATTTTTCCAAAGAACAGTTACTGTATGGCAGGGGTGCCCAATCCTGTTCCTGGAGATCTACACTACCTGACAAAAGTCTTGTTGTCGTTCCCAGTTGTAAAAGCAACAAATAATAACTTGACGTCTAGTTGAACATTTGGAAAAGTGTCAGAAGGTGGATTTTTCTGATGAATCATCTGTTGAACTGCATCCCAATCACAAATACTGCAGAAGACCTATTAGAACGTGCATGGATTCAAGATTTTTACAGAAATCAGTCAAGGAAAAATCATGGTTTGGGGTTACTTTCAGTATGGCGCTGTGCGAGAGATCTGCAGAGTGGATGGCAACATCAACAGCCTGAGGTATCAAGACATTTGTGCTGCCCATTACATTACAAACCACAGGAGAGGGCAAATTCTTCAGCAGGATAGCGCTCCTTCTCATACTTCAGCCTCCACATCAAACCTCCTGAAAGCAAAGAAGGTCAAGGTGCTCCAGGATTGGCCAGCCCAGTCACCAGACATAAACATTATTGAGCATGTCTGGGGTAAGATGATGGATGAGGCATTGAAAATGAATCCAAAGAATCTTTATGAACTCTGGGAGTCCTGCAAGAACACTTTCTTTGCCATTCAAAATGACTTTATAAATAAATGATTTGAGTCATTGCAGAGATGTATGGATGCAGTCCTCCAAGCTCATGGGAGTCATACACAATATTAAATCTTTATCCACTGCAGCATGACTTTATATTCTATTGACCTTATTCTCCGCAGACGAGTGGGCGCTGCCTTTTGAATCTTTTTGGCACGAGACTTCCGCTCTCATTCACTTCCATTCATTTTTAGACATTAAAAACTGCTCGTTTCGCTGTTTGATGTTGCAAACTGATATTTCCTTGTTATATTATTCTACTTGGTCTGTATAGTCATGCAAACATTTGTTTGTAGAGCAAGTAGTTTGACCGTTTTTTGCCGTTTATTATTCCTTGTCATTTCTCCCATAGGCGACTGAAACGGAAGTTCTAAGACAATCGCGAAAACAGGCGCACTTCCGCATTTTAGAATAAGGTCAATACTGTACATTATTCCTGTTAAAAGAGAAAGTCAGACCTTACTGTCCTAATTAAATCATTAAAAATCAAGGCATGATCATATTATATTTTGGTAAACTAAGCGTAATCTAGAGACCTTTGCCTTTAAGATAAACCACTTCTGATAACAAATGATCAACTAGAAGTCAAGTTATTATTTGTTGTTTCTAAAACTTGGACAAGCGACAAGACAATTGTCAGGTAGTGTACCTTCCCGTAGAATTTAGCTCCAACCCTGATCAAACACAACTAAACCAATTAAGTTGGATCTGAAGGAGCACTTGGTAATTACAGACCGGTGTGTTTGATCAAGATTGCAGGAAGGTAGAGCTCCAGGAATAGGATTGGCACCCCTGCCGTACAGTGTTTGGTAATGGTCAAAAAGTGTTATATTTGGTGTAAAACTATAATGAATATTAGCAAAAGACTCATCTGTGATTAGGCATAGGCCGGTATAGGATTCTGACGGTATGATAACCTTGGATGTAAATATCACGGTTTCACAGTTTTGTGATTACTGCTCTAAAATATCGTCTTTTAAATGTCTGAGTAAAAAACAAAACCTTTTTCCATTTGAACACAATAGATTTCATTTTGGGAAACATTTAAAATATTGTGGAACAGTAAACCTGTCAGGCTAAATACAGGGTTTCTGCAGGGTTTTAAAATGTCTTAATGTTGTGTTGTAGGTCTTAAATCTTTTTAAACGGGTCTTAATTTTCCTTTGTTCATCTATTGCTAACTATTTATATAAAGTGTGATTTTTAACTCTATTTACCTTAATGGATGAATTATTTTCCCTGCAATAACATTTGTTTAAAATTGCTCCATGTATTTACTGCTGAGGACACCAACCTGGACAGATTGTTGTGCATACATTTAGTTTATTATACTTTTTAAAACTTTTAAGAAAGTTTATGTTGGAAAAACGTGTATAGATACAAGTAGAGCTTGCTTGTTTTTATACAATATTTAAAATATTTTGCTAAGAAATATAAAAAATATAATTGAATTGCTATTATTAATATATTATTAGTCATATTTAATATATTATTGTATAATTCAATGTATTCGATTATAATATTGTTTTGTTTTTTGATTTGGCAAATCAAAATATTTTCCATCTGAGCCATTTCACAAAATCCTCAGCCTTTAGCCCTTCATGAGTCTGAACTTTAATTCATAATGGTCCTAATGTTTTAAAAAGTCTTAAATTTAACTTGGTGAAACCTGCAGAAACCCTAAAATTATTCAAACGAATTCTTGTCTTCTGCTGTCTTCATTTGTTTCAAAAACAATTTTTTCTTTACAATTTAAAACAGCATCTTTGGAGATCTTTTCTGCTGGAGATACTGTTGTCCTTAAAAACTAAAAACAAAACATAAATAAAAAATCTTACACATACCTTAGGAACGGTACAGCAGAAAATTTTGGCGGTTTGAAAACCTTGACTTTTCCAAACCGCAGTATACCTTGAACACGGTTATCGTCCCATGCCTGCCTGTGATGGGAAAACATAATTGCTTAATCAACTTCATTTTTCCTCAGATCTTCTCAAGGAGGCCATGAAACTCACCGAGTGTGAACAGGTATGCTAGTACTGATTTACAGCTGTTGGTTAAACATGGCGTTTTTCGTTTCTGAAGTCCTCAATGTTTTAAATTCCCAGGCTCGCCTGTCTCTGGAGCTTCAGAGGGACAGTCATGTGAAGCAGCAGCGGCTGATCGAGGAGCGATGGAAGCGAGCAAAGCGAGAAGACAAACCCAGAACTCTCCAGGCCTCAGAGCAACCGGCCCGCCGTCACCTTCATCCAGCCGGAGTCGCAGACACCACCTCTCAACCCCCTGATCGAGAGTACGACACCTGGCTGTACCTCCTCAAAAACAAAGGCACCGTCCCAGAGCCCTGCGCAGGCAGCAAAGCTCAGAAAGACGACAAAACACGCCTGGAAGAGCAGCAAACCACCATCAATGACCTGCGCAAACTCGTAGACCGCCTCGTGTCGGAAAACCAGCGGTTAAAGCAGGAAAACGAGCGGTTGTGTGCGGAAAACTCGCGCCTGAAGAAGGAACACTACGCCGATGCGGATTCAGAGCTATGGGTGCTTCCACAGCCCAACGAAGAGCGCAAGGCCAAGGACATTCCCATCCCGCAGCTCCCTCCGCTGGAGATGCCCACTCAGGAGATCCCTCTGGAAGATCTACCCGGACTGGAGCTTCCGGAGGACATCCTGCAGGAGCTGGACGGAGACAAGTAGAGAACGCTCATATTCTCGAAAAACACGCAACCAAAGGGAGACTTCCAGCGCCACCGCGTGCCAGAGGAAACACGCCTCGCTGGCGTAAAATGGCGGCTCACCAAGCCGTCAGCTTGTTTGCTTCGATTAGCGATTGGTTCAAATGAAGAACGAAGACTCTTTTGTCAGTACGTGTGCCTTTTCCCAACATTTCTAACGCATTTTTTTGGTTGTTGTCGTCGTTGTTATGAAGTACGACTGAAAAGGGACGTCAAAGACGAACAGATGAGACTCTTTCGTTTTGCAAATTCACACTTAAAACAAACAATTTCCTACACGGACACTGTGAAATACATCCAGGATGTGTGTGTGTGTGTGAGGTTTTTGTGCAGTATCTGTTGATTAGCATCACTCATGTTGACGTTGTGTTCTAAGGGGTATCAATGCAATTAGTTATGCATCGGTTTCTGTACACTAACCAGCTTGCAGCACTTGTTTTGCCTTACTGCGAAGATCCCGTCGACTAGTACGAAGATCAGTCAGATCACCGCCCTGGAGGATTTGTAGCAACCACGAACTATAACCTGACAACACAGCTGTACTTCAGGAACTGAACGTCAGCGTCAAACTATTGCATTCAGAGCTATAAGCAATAATCAAGTCGAGCGCTATAGAATCTCTCGTTCGTTTCTCATCTCCGCTCGCTGCAGTTTTCAGATGTCCGTGAGAAAGTGAACAGAGCTTCTTATTTTGTGTACTGTAATCATCAATCAAGGATCGCAGTGTTAATATTTTCAGGTAACCGATCGCACAATCGTACCGTGTGTAACAATAAAGCAGGTTCACTCCTCACACTGATCAAAAAGCGCACCAACATGTGCCAGACGCGCCTGGAAGAGACGACTTTGTGTCACCAAGAGGGAACCAAATCACATTTTGCTCTTTTTATTGTTATTTGTTTTTTTTAATTCAATGTTTAATTGCTGGTTTACCGCAGTAATCAGGGTGCGTCAGATTTTGTTGTTTTGCGATGTAAAAATCATTGATTTTGATGCATGAATGGCTGTTCTACAGTAAATATGTATACGATTATTACGATTTTGGAAATAAGGATTTCTGTATAATTCTTTTGTGAGTTACTTGTTCTGACGAGCATTAAAGATTTTAACAATGGAAGCATCAATCTCTTTTTTTTATTTAAATAATTAATGTTAAAACAAGGCCGTAGATTTAGCATGGACGGAGGGGACCCTCAGCTATTGAAATGTACCACCAATAATTTAATTCACTTTAAAGAAAAATTGCGCCGTCAATATTAACCTGGACATGCAGAAATGGTTAAATCACGTTCTGTCCTCGGGTCGCACCGCACCCCCCCAACACATGAGTGAAGGTTATCCATAAACTAATTTCGAGAGGATCATGTGACTATGATTGAACACGGCTGGTTCTGCATTAGCATGTATGATCCACCAATCAGGCCATTCCTAACCCACTATAAAGAGCCAGGGTTTTTCACTACAGTCATTCGATTTGAAGAATCCCCTCCTCCACCCCTACCTCTTCACCTTTCCCTCCTTAGGGCGGCACGGTGGCCCAGTGGTTAGCACTGTTGCCTCACAGGAAGAACGTCACCGGTTCTAGTCCTTTAACAGGCCGGCGGTCGTTTCTGTGCATAGTTTGCATGTTCTTCCTGTGCTCGCGTGGGTTTTCTCTAGTTTCCTTCCACATTCCAAAAACATGCACTAGTTGATTGATCAATCTAAATTAAGCGCTACAGTCAATCTCTCATCCTGCAGCATATCTCTCCATAGCATTCATTTTAGTCATCGGCTCTTATCAAGGGGGGAGTTGTCGAGATCTACCCGAGCTCAAGGCTCCCCTCTCGCCGTGCAAACGGGAGGGAGCCCAAGGCTCAAGGAGCTCAGGGCTCTCTCCCGGGACAGCATGCCAAACTTGCTTATAATCAATCATCATTGTCAACATTGTGATTGGCTGTACCTTTCCCTTGTCTCACACAGCTAGAATAAAAGCAGTTTTTACTTTTTTAATAACCATTTTATGGTCAAAAATAAGCTATATATTTTTTCGATAGTCTACAGAACAAACTGTCATTATACAATAACTTGCCTAATTACTCTAACCTGCCTAGTTAACCTAATTAACCTAGTTAAGCCTTTAAATGTGAATTTAAGCTGTATAGAAGTGTCTTAAAAATATCTAGTCTAATATTATTTACTGTCATCATGGCAAAGATAAAATAAATCAGTTATTAGAGATGAGTCATTAAAACTATTATGCTGAGAAATGTGTTAAAAGAATCTCATAATGGTGAAAAACAGGGGGTCTTATATTTCTGACTTCAACTATATATATATATATATATATATATAAGTGCAAACCTACATCCTTGGGTTAAACTAAAGCGAGTATACATTCGACTTTACATGGTATGTATAAAAGCTGGATACTTGGGACACAGTTGAAGAATGGTTCGTTTGAATACTGTTATAGTTTATGCATTTTGTTTTGGGAAATGTTATTCAAATGTGGGTTTGACGGTTTTGCAAAGAATTATTTGGTACACTTTATTCCACAGATGTGGTCTGGATTGAGAACCCATTTAGTTAATTAGAAATGTAGCAAAATACGAATTAAATATTTTCCAAATAAATCTTCAGACCCATTTATAATAAAAATATTTCTCATTGTAAATGGAATCTTCATACAGAATGAAGCATATTTGAAAACCCCTGTTATAAAACAGCAACTGCACTATAAGTGAATGTTTATTTGATCTCACTCAAGCTCGATTTGTCGAGAGCTCCCTCTGCTGTTCATTATGAGAATGCCAACAAAGCAAAACCATCTTTTTTTTGTATGAATACTAACCATACTGTAAATCAGTGGTTTTCAAAGTGTGGGTCGGGACACCCCGAGGAGGGGTTGCGGGACAATGAACGGGTGTCTCCTGGTGATTTCCAAAAATCGATTTATTTTTATTAAACCGTAAGAATGACTATATTTTATCCATAACCTCCTGAAGAGAAAAAAATGTTGTTTCTAGTTACTCTATACTTCATAGTTACCATAGTAGCTTATAGTAACTAGTTTTATTGGATTGCGACCCCTGGGGTAATTGCATTATATTAAAGACACAGCAATAGCGTCAGGTTGATTTTATAATAGCAGGTTAAACTTTCTGGCACATTTACATCACTCGCATACATAAAAAAAAAACAAAGAATAGACTCGCATGCAAGTTTTCTGTATGTATAACCACCTCAGAGGATATTGGGTGTCGCGAGTCACTGGCATGAGGGTTGCAGGTTGAAAGGTTTGGGAACCCCTGCTGTAAATTAGTCATGCAAATGATGATGAATATACATATCTGAAGCGTTAACATGTCCAATTATTATTTATTTTGAAACCCTCATTGTTAGCCAAAGAAACCCCTGCAGATTTGAATTTCTGACCTCCGGCTTATCAATAAGGCAAACGGCAGGCGGATATTTGATAAATCCATTTTAATGGAAAATGTAAAACCCTTTTGAACTTCAATGTACAAAGCATGTAACACTTGCACTTTAAAATTTGAAATTGAAGCAAGCCATGTTTAAAAAAATACATCAGTGAATGTATATATGTATATATTTACACAGCATAGTACGATTTTCCTTTTTCCATCGAACTTCAAAAGTTCACCATAGTAAATCTGAACATAAAAAGCAGAAAAAACGACAATTTTCTTAAATAAATTACAACTTTTTTCTTTCTTTTTTCTTTTTTTTTGCAAATGTCTCCATTTTACAGTGAATACTTCTTAATAAAATGCTGACGTGTGTTATTAAGTCTTTCTTTACATAATAACAGAACTGTACAATGTTTACAATTGTTTGGCAGTTCTTGTTTTGTTTTGTTTTTCTCAAAAGATATGGCATGAGGACACGAGATGGTGGATCTCTCTCACAGTAACTCCAAGTCTCCAAAAGTAGTGAAATCCATTAGCAAACTGTACAAGTCACATTTACATTTGATCGAGAACAGAACGCCTGAAAATAAATACTGAAACTATACAGTATGAAAGAAGGAGAGGGAAAGGAAAGCAAACGGACAGACGAACGCTAGCTGTCAGACGGGTGGTGTTGGTGTGGTCTACTTGGCACTGGAGGTTGGCGGTGTGTGCGTGCGTGTGGACGGCTGTCATGAGTTGCTCTCCTCTTCCTCCTCAGCACAGCTCCTCTTCAATGTGCCCACGGCGTCCTTCACGCAGTGGTAGAAGATGTTCTTGACCTGAGACAAACGGCAGGCTGTTAGAAACATGACTCGGACTCACATGTGAACTGATGAATGATCGTGAGACATGTGTTCCTCATGTAATATCCGTTGTGTGCTTAGCGTACCTGTAGCTTATCTTCGTAGTTCATCTCCTCTTTGGAGGATCTGAGTTCTTGTGTTAAGTGAAAGGAATGCCCCACGTGCTCTGGAGACACGAAGTCATTGATCACCTGAATGCAGCTGTGAAGATTCTGCACCTGAACACACAAACATGAGCTGATGTCATGAAGATGCATATACAGCACTGTTGGACATTGGCTAGTAAAAGAGGATGTTTAGTAGTAAAGGTTGACTGATACAAGTGCAGTTACCCAAAAAATCAACTATATAGAGTTAAAGTCTGATTTATTAACCCTCCTGCATATTTTTCCCCAATCTCTGTTAAACGGAGAGATTTTTTCAACACATTTTTAAGCATAATAGTTTTAAAAGCTTAATTCTAATAACTGATTTCTTTTATTTTAGCTATGATGACAGTAAATAATATTTGACTAGACATTTTTCAAGCTAAAAGTGACATTTGGAGGCTTAACTAGGTTAATTAAGCAAGTTATTGTCATTGTATAATGATGGTTTGTTCTGTAGGAAATCAATAAAAATATTGCTTAAGGGGGATAATAATATTGACTTTAAAATGGTTTAAAAAAAAATAAAAACTGCTTTTATTCTAGCCAAAATAACACAAATAAGAGTTTCTCCAGAAGAAAAAATATTATAGTAAATACTGTGAAAAATTCCTGTTAAACAATAAGCATACAGATTTCAACTGTTCATATTTATAATCAATATAATATATCATCAATATAATAAAAATTTTACATTGTGTACACAATCTATTACAAGACTTCTGTTGTCTGATTGATGTAGTTTATGTGTTTTAGCATAATAGGATAGGATTTATGTACAGTTGAAGTCAGAATTTCTGTTTTACGGAGAGCAGATTTTTTTAACACATTTTTAAACATAATAGTTTTAATAACTCATCTCTAATAACTGATTTATTTTATCTTTGCCATGATGACAGTAAGTAATATTTGTCTTTTCAAGACACTTCTATACAGCTAAACATGACATTTAAAGGCTTAACTGGGTTAATTAGGTTAACTAGGCAGGTTAGGGTTGTTTATAGGGAAAGTTATTGTATAACCATGGTCTGTTCTGTAGCCTATCACAAAAAATATAGCTTAAAGGGGCTGATAATTTTGACATGATCATATTCACAGAACTGAATTCTACTGTGTGTTTTAACCCTTGTGATAAAAACTATAGTGATTTGGTATTGAAACCGAAATGTAAACAATACCAAGAAAGATGTCAAGTGAAAATTATTAGTAGATTTAGTTTTTTAATAATTCAACCACATATATGTCTACTTATAGCAGGGGTGGGGAATGTCTGGCCCCATCTGTCAATTCAAAATCACCCCTCAGGAAAAAAAAAATAAAAAATTCTGAGGGGTGAAAAAATATATATAACAAATAAGCTTTTCTCCAGAATATATAACAAATAAGCCTTTCTCTAGAAGAAAAAATATTATAGGAAATACTGTGAAAAATTCCTCTGTTAAACATCATTTGGGTAATATTTATATATAAAAAAACTAAATTTACAGGAGGGCGGATAATTTTGACTTCAACTGATAATCGTTTTAAATAATCGTAATTACAATTATGACCAAAATAATCGCGATTATGATTCTTCCCATAATCGAGCAGTCCTCAATTTCTAAATATGCTCGGTGACTAAAATATTATTTCAATAAATATATCTGTTCAATAAATCCGTTTTGTTTAAACGCACCAAAATACATTGCCTATATTCACTGAGAAATGGAAAAAAAATATTCATTTTCAAAATGGGGTGTACTCAATTGTACTGAACACCATATAAACACAATATCCTTGTGACCAGAAAACAAATCCCTAGTCCAATTCTAAGAGCCCCTCAGGTTACCATCAATATGTCATCTGAGATTGTATTTTCATATGCTCTATAAATCAAACAGCACAAGAAATTAGTCCAGTCGCAATATCTGTTGCGTTGTACGATATATTGCACCAAAATATATAGCGATAAACGATATCATTGCCTTTTTAGGCCACTCAGTATATAATGCCAGAATGACAATATAATATCATCACAATGCAAGTACACTCTTCCAGAGAACACATTTTATTCTTAAGAATATTTAAAATAGTTATAGTCATTTTAACTATTTAATAATCAGGCATTGGAATCAGAAAGTGAAAACACATATCCTAAACATATAAATAATAATACATTTTATCAAAAAAGTGCAAGGTAAAAAGTAACAGAGGCTGCGATATCTGCTACCAGATCTATTTTCAGTCATCAGACACCCACATGAAAATATACTATAGTAATTTATAGTAAATACTACAGTGTTTTTCTAACCATACTGACACTGACACGTCCAATAGAGATAGAGATGCTGCGAAATCAGCTAAAATATTACTAGAATTGGTTTTTATGTATTGGTGATATATATTGCTTCACCAAAAATGATTGAGGTCATGTCCACGTGTTGTGTGATAAGTCGATATATTGATTATTCTGACAGGCCTACCTCATTGCAACAAGGCTTAGTAGTGTAAATGCAGCTTAATGTGTTTTGTGTAACTGCAGAAGTGTGCTGATACCTGGTGCAGAGCTCCTGCCGGGATCAGGACTGAATCACCCAGAAACTGCACCACAGTCCAGCCCTGAATGCCATGTTCATCCAGCAGCCGCTGACGTAGCTTTCGGCTCAAGTAGTAGCTGGAATCACGGATGGGGTCGTGATCTGCTGCGATCTCCACACCCTGCTCTTTCGCCACCTGTTATGTCCAAACATTTACAAACAGTGAGTTAGAAAAAAAAAACTAAAGAACTACATACTCTAGGAAAGAGTTGGGTTGCAAAAAAAATCACCTGTTTTGTCATCATTTAAGGCAGTGGTTCCCAACCTTTTTTTGCCTGAGACCCCCTTTTTCCGCAGAAAATATTGTAAGGCCCCCCTCCACATTTAATGATATAATCACTCATATAAGTTTGCAGTAATGATGACAAAAAATGTTGTTTTCAAACAAACGGTATGTTTATTAAATAGGTGCATAGATATAATTTTTTAATTTAGATTTATTCCAAGATTAGATAAAATTTCTAGATTAAAATGGCTCATTGAATTCTGCCGAAGGCGTTCAGAATATGTGTGCTACCCAAATAATAAGTATTTGAGAATGGGTTCCTCAAGCCAGGTGGCGAATTAGACCAGGGGCTCATCACCTGTTTCCAAAATGCATCACAAACTGCTTGAAAAACTCATTAATCCAACAAAAGTCATAACTGAACTAAACAGAAATGGAATTAAGATGTGGAGTATGCATATATTAGTGGCATTATTAAATGCCTTAATTAAACACCGCGATCTTTAGGACCTTTCGCCATATTTTCCAACAAGATCCACAAGCGGCTGTCAGTAAAGGACCGCACACACACACACAAACTCATTGCGAAATGCGGAAGGTTTTTTTCTTTCTATTTGGCGTACACTATTAAATTCCATAACACTCTCACCAGTCCTTACTCCTTATTTGCGTTATTCACAGGGGGTGAATGAAATGTTCATGAGTTAAAGTGAAACTGCTGATTTGATTCAGAAGGTTCACTCTTTTGTCTGACCGCTCACCGGTCAGGTATACATGCGCACCAATATATCAAGGTGAAAGTCATCATAGCTTGCATAGAATAGAACCAGCCCCCAACCCAACTTTGAGAATAGATTAACGGCAATTATTATTTTATCAGACGATAAGAATCTTGCATTAATGGCCCACCACTAGTGTAAATATATATTTATTCAGTTTGTATAGTCATTTCAGTAATACTATTGTCCACTGCTAAGAATTTTTTCAAATATGGACCCCCCTGTTGGGAACCGTTGATTTAAGACATTATGCTAGAGAATCATTCAAATACTAGCTCCATAGTGACGTTTTTGAAGTAGCAACAAATTCTGCTGTTCTGACATCAGCTGCAGGTGTGAATGAATGGCGGAAGAAAGTAGTTTCTCTTTTAAAAGGATTTTAGAGACTTTCTGTGTTTGATTTTCTTTTTATATACACATTTATGCTGTCAAACTGTTGTATAAACACAATACTACATTCATAGCATTGCGATGTGGCTGTATATCGTCACTGGTGGGACACTGAGTCAGCCTGCGGCCTCGAGACAACGTACGCCTCCCATCAGTGCCGATATACAGCCATATCGCACTGCTACTGGTGTGGATATTGCTCACCTATATAAATATAGTTTTCATATTATTTCAGTAGTATTATTGAATAATATGCAAATGTTTATATGATTTATTTACAATACAGTTTGTAAAGTAATATTTTCTGTCTTTTAGTATATATTTTTCAAGAGGTTCTAATTGTATTTGCATCGGAAATCTCAAATAAAAGTTATTATTTTTAATTTCATGTTATGATTTTTTAGTTACTATACTCGCAGAAATAGCAAAAACATGCCCTGGTCATGGCTTAATGGCCCTTAGAAAATATGTGTGCCATAGCCAAACTAGTTGAGAACCACTGCTCCAGAAAAAATAAATGATATGAATCCTATAAAACTTTTTTGTGCAAGAGAGGGAAAAAGGTTTTATGAGGACACTTGAGAGTGAGCGTCACTCCGATGATCCACCGTATTATTTCAAGATCAGCCGAGAAATCAAATGAAAATAACCTTGTGCAGGAACTCTTTAATCTTCTCGCCGTCTTTGCTGGTGTAGATGTGCCACAAGGCTCCCGGAGTCTCGCTCGAGTCCTTTAATCTTTTCTTGACGTTGTCATCCAGATCTTCCTCCTCCAGCCTCTTCAGCACTCCTGTGTGTTTGGCACAAACACGCTCATGCGGTTACACGGCAAACACATCACACAGTCAGCTTAATTTATTATAAAAGCAGGCAGCGCTGTCCTCTTTTGAAGACGGAGCGATGTTTAAAAATTAATGGCAAGCAGTATGTGTGGGAGTCTGGCTTTTATATATTCTCCTCATGTCTGCCCATGAGACGGCAGATAAAAATAGACAAGTCATCGCAGGAAGGAGGAGCACAACTGTAAAATTACTTAAAACCTTAAAATCAAAAAGTGAGGGAGGAAGTATATCAACATCATTTACATGATTACTCAGCAAAGTCTTCAGTGTCAACTACAGCAGTGCTGTCGAAATAAATAATCAGAATTTTAAAGGTATAGTAAAGACCACAATTACAAATCGAAATGAATGTGTGTCTTTTATTAAACATGTTGAACATTGAAGTCATTTCTTCTCGACAAACTTTCGAAAGCAATTAAATATACACTTTTGTTCTGGACAATTTTTGGTAACACTTTAGAATAATGGTCCATTAGTTCATGTATTTGCTAACATTAACTAAGTGTGAATAATCTTGTAAAGCATTTATTCATCATAGTTCAACATTTACTAATGCATTATTAAAATGCAAAGTTGTCACGTACTTAAAGACCGCCTATTTCAAACCTTTTTTAAGATTTAATAAAAGTCTTTTGTGTCCCCGGAATGTGTCTGTAGGGTTTCAGCTCAAAACACCCATCAGATTATTGAATATATCTTTTTAAATCTCGGAAATTTGAGCTGTTTGGACAATGTAGCTGTTTTTGTTGTCTGTGCCTTTAATGCAAATAAGCTGGTTCTCCACGCCATCGTTCCCACGTGCGTGTAGCCTACACCTGCTGCTTCTCATGCCAGATAAACAGCACAGTGACCGACAAGAATGAAGCAGATCTCCCTTACTACAGCAAGAAGTTTCCCAATGGTTATTTGATATATTTGTTGTGAAGTTATTTCTAGCCTTGGCAACGATGTGTCTCACACAATGTCGTTATAAAATTTGTCTCGGCTAATGTGACAGGATACACAATAATATACACTGCTGTATGGACATCCATTATGTTAATTTACAAAATAAGCCTGATCCACAAACCAGGATTGCAGCATCTTCTTTTATAATTGTGCTGACACAATGTGCCTGTGGTGATGAATTACGCAGTGATTCTACTGTCTTTATTACATACATGCACTGTTTTATAAACATTGTGAAGTTTTTAAACTAATTTCGAGAGGAGCCCGTGATATAACTGACTGCAGCTGGCCACCTATCTACACTCATTAGTTAGCCAATCAGATCTATCCTAACTTACTATAAATAGCCTAGCTAGATATTACTCCCTTATCTTCGTTTTCCGAAGAAACCCCCCATCCACCCCCTTTCTCCTCCTTTTAAAAAGGGGAGCTCTCGAGAACCACCTGATCTCGTACTCCCCTCACATGCTCTATGGACCTGGCGGGAGCCCTGGGCTCAACTATCTCCAAGCTCAGGGTTCTCTCCCGGGACAGCATGCCAAACCTGCTTACAGTTGTCAAGCAATATCTAAGTGTGAACTCTTGAAATACTTGTAAAACTCATTCTTGAGGTGCAGATGATCACAGCGAGCTGAACAGAACTTTTAATCCCAGTTGCATTGCTCATGTCCTGTCTTGTGGATTTGATTATACATATTACTACAGATACATGTTAATACATGTCTGTCAATCAATTCGGTGGGTGAGGAAACCAAACTCCTACGCCGTGTTGCGGTGGGCCTCAAAATGGGAGGGATTTGGATCCTGTTTTAAAGTCATACCCCAGTTTGACTGTGGACACACTAATAATCCACACAGTTCTGTCCAAACAGCTTACAAAAGATGATTTTATTCATAGGTGCCCTTAAAATAACGTTTACCAACGATAACGAAGATGAATAAATGATATAATAATGTATTACTAATTGTTTGTTCATGTTAATAGATACATGAACTAATGAACCACTATTTTAAAGTGTTACCAAATAGTTTTTCCCAGAATGTGCATGGCATGGGTGTTGCCACTTTGCATACAAACAAATTTTGTCTAATTTAACTAATATATGGAGGGTAGAAAAAAATCAGGCTGTGCATACTGTGCTGATAATCATCCTCATGTGCATTGTACCCTAGCATTAGTGTAAAAATTAAAGTTGGAAAAACTTATTACAGGAGAGCATCCTGTCTGGCTGTATCACCACCTGGTATGGAAATAGCACCAGCAGAAATCGCAAAGGCCTACATAGGATTGTGCGAACTGCTGGACGCGTAGTAGGAGGTGAGCTTTCCTCCCTCTAGGATATCTACACCAGGCGGTGCATGAGTAAAGCCAAAAAAATTATCAGCGACTCCAGCCACCCATGCCATAAACTTTTCTCTCTGCTACCCTCAGGCAGATGGTTTCGCAGCATCCGGTCACGCACTCGCCGGCTGAAGGAAAGTTTCTTCCCTCAGACTATCAGGCTGATGAACACTAACACACCCCACACAGACTCTTCCATACCCCTCACTGCACACCATCAATATGTAGCATGCACTGCACTTTAACCAATCCATACTTGAAACAATACTGCCTACAACTATGTGGACATTGTACATATTGCTGTCAATTTTACATTGTCCTCTTTATTTATTTATTTATTTATTTATTTATTTATTTATTTATTTATTTATTTATTTATTTATTTTTATTTTATTTTATTTTATTTTATTTTATTTTATTTTATTTTATTTTATTTTATTATTTTTTTTTTTAGGAGTATGCTGCTATATTTTGCACTGTCGTTGTATTTGCACTGTCTGTATTTTGTACTGTCTGGAGCCAGCACCTAAGCTTTTCACTCATCATAGCACTCGTGCTGCTGATGATGTGACTATAAAAAGTGATTTGATTTGATTATTTGTGTAAGTTTTTTTGTTACCAATGTAATTTTTAAATGTCATGAGCATTTTTACAAAGAATATAGAAATATGAAAGAATTTTTGTAGTTTTGACAAGCTCTAATATATAATTTCTGGACAGAAACAAATATATTTTTTACTGTTTAGGACAATTGGGGTCAAAATGACTGAGAACCAATGATGTTTAGATGTAACATTAAATCTTGAATGTTTTAGATCTGCCTAAAGTAGCTGACATCCCACTATAGACGATGAAAGAGAGTGGAAGAAATAAAAGCTCCAGCTGGATTTTAGTTCATATTAAGCCTCTGTTAATGTGAAGGTTTTACTGATTCACTCTCGTTAAGTGCTGAGAGAAAAGCTCTTTGCAGTGCTGCTATGGCAATGCACAGGCAGGGAAAACTCCTTCCAGATGCATCTCTCACATTTCATTGTTTCCAGGGTGGAAACCATGTTTTGTGTTTTTTTTTTTTCTTCCTCTGAGCTCAGGGGTTTATGGAACATTTCTGTTCAAGCAGGAAGCTTTTCCCCCTCCACATCTTTCACTGAGTTAATGGACAGTAAATGACAGTTGTGTGGCGGATGAATCTCAGACTTACCTGTTTTGGACAAGACGCCATTCCCTTTTGCCACTCCGACGTAAACCAGCACGCTGATCACGTCAGACACCTCCATGTGCAGGTTAGCAGTGCCGAAATCCTGCTCCTGAGATGCTGCCACACCTGTGACATGGATCATATTTCATTCAGTTCACTGTGTTTCAGGCATCAAGGTTTACATACAGTTAATGATGTTTAGCAAGGAATTTTTCCACGGTATTTCCTGTAATATTTTTTTTGTTCTGGAGAAAGTCTTAATTGACTTATTTTAGCTAGGGTAAAAGCAGCTTTTCATTAAAAAAAAAAAAAAAAAAAACATTTTAAGGGCAATATTATTAGCCCCTTTAGGCAATATTGTTGTTGTATTGTCAACAGAACAAACCACTGTTATACAATGACGTGCCTAATTACCCTAATTTGGCTGATTAACCTCATTAACCTAGTAAAGCATTTAAATCACACTTAAAGCTGAAAACTAGTATCTTAAAAATATCTAGTCAAATATTGTGTCCTGTAATCATGGCAAAGATAAACCAGTTAATAGAAATTAGATTTAAAACTATTGTTTAGAAAGATGAACAGAAATGTGAACACTAAATTGTGCTGTCAACATAAACACGATGGCATGTGATAACGCGTTAAGATTTCTTTAACACAAATGAATGATTTGATAAGGTTTTTGCCATCACCACAGTCCTTTCATTGTGTGATAATAAGAGTACAGCAAACATTTTGTGCTGAATGGAAAGTTTCATTATAAACTGCTTCCAGATAAAACCAAATTAGCGTGTGCTTATTTTTTTGCTGATGGGCCTGCCAACAAAAAAACAACTGCAAACCTAACTGATTCCTGATCACTAAATGGCAATGCACATATCCATCAACATTGTTCATTACTGTACCAGTTACCTTTAAGGCTAACTATTAATTCAAAGCTACATGAATTGTACAACAGAAAATGGCAAAAATAAAAAAGTAAATCAATTTGCAGAAGGCACTTCCATTGCACTTACTGGAGACCACTGGGCATCAGAAGTGACCAAAATTACCTTGGCGCAATTAATCAATGACAACTGGCAACTGCACGGCAAGTTAAATATTGTAAATAATAAGAATAATAAGATGATAAAACTAGATGATCTGTTTTCTTAAACTCGTCCTGCATTTCATTTCAACACAACACTTCTACGTTTAAATTGTATATTTAAAATTTGCGAATAATTATAATTTTCCAAGGACCATGATTTCAACTAGAGCCATAACATTTTTAAATCAATTGACAGTCCTAATTTGCACCATATGGTTCAGTCTTTTTAAATTTAAGTTTAAATATAAATAAATGAAGTATAATTACAATAAAAACAATAAACACCACGTGTTTTATTTTAATATGAATGCATAAAAGTGCAATCTGAAATTTTCTTCTGAAATGAGCAGTTTTCTATTATTCTTGGTAATGAACAAGTTTTTCATTGACTTTAAAATAACTGAAAATTAATATAAGAGGCTGAGAAAAAATGCTAATTTCAGAAAAAAAAATTTAGATGGCACTTAAAGGATTTTGCATCTAAACTCTTCATATGTTTTTTTTTAATCAGTCGATTGTGGTGGAAAATATTCCTAATTGTCATAAAAATAATATTTATTTTATTTTATCTTATTTTATCTTATTTTATTTTATTTTATTGACCTAAAATTTAAATCAAAATTTAAAATTGACAAATTTTCTTTACACTTTTTCTTTTGGGAAATGTTCCTTCCTGTAACTGAACATAATATTGTAATAAATACTGAAGTAAAATGTGGTAAACCAAAACAGAAAACAAGATAAGCCAGAAATCAAAAGTGTGTCTGAGTGTGTGAGAGACAGAGGGAGCTGTAGTACCATATGCGCAGCAGAGGCGAGGGCCCAGATCCGGCCGCACAAAGAAGGTGGGCAGATGGGAGGCCAGGTTGAGGTTTCCCTCCGGGTCTGAATATTCAGGCATGGGGAGGTTCTTCATCAAATCATCATACCTAAACAATGACATCAAGCACATTTTAAAACCAGCATTTACAAGCCCTAAAGCAATATCTGAATTAGCATGTCGTCTTGTGTTCTAGTGTTTATGAGGTACCTGGATGAAGGTATCAAATTTTTTGTGATTAATTTTTGAAGCTTTTACAGGGTTTTTGCAGGTTTCATCAAGTCAAATTTAAGACTTCTTAAGACCCTTTTAAGACCATTATGAATTAAATTTAAGACTTACACAGGACTAAACACTAATTATTATTTCTAATGGCCTGGTTGGGTTTTTGCTTGCAATAAAAAATAAATAAATCAAAACTACATACATGTGTCAAAAACAAGAAAACTCTGGCTGTATAGAGTCTAGTTGTATTTTTTGTTTTAATGACAAGTTTAACATGTTAAAAGTATGTTGTGTTGCTTTATCTGGAAAATTAAGACTTGTTTAAAATTATTTAAGACACACAACACATCACATCAGTGAATTTAAGACTTTATAGGGCCTACAATTTTAGGCCTAAAAATGTTTTTGAAATTTAAGATATTTTAGGAGGTCTAAAATTTTAGGCCTAAAATGTTGGACATCCTGTTTTATCAGAGTATACGGTATTCTCAAGGTATTGACTTGAATATACTTTAAAAGATAAACATGATAACCAAAAGAAATAGTTTTTTGTACATACTGTACATGTTCAGAGTAAATAAATTAATTCAATTGCATAAAATCATAATAAAGTACAATAGGCAACACTTTACAATAAAGTTTCAATTGTACATGTTAGTCAATGAATTAAAATCAACAGTGGATAAAAGGCTAAATTTATTAGTTACTATGTTAATAATTGTTAACATAAAAATTATAGTTAACATAAAATTAATAAAACGTTCATTGTTTTCATTGTGAGTTTAGTTAAATTAACAAATGTTAAAAAATAAAGCCTTATTGCACAAAATTTAATGTATAAAAGCATTTAAAAGTCTAGATTCAGAATTTTCATTCATTATTTTAGCACGAAGTAGGCTAGATTAAAGTGAAAATATTAGTGTTTAAACTATTAAGCTAACCAATCAAGTCTTGAACACCACTGCAAATACAATCTGAATATTCTTAAACAATAATTTAAAAAGTATTCACTGTATTTGGAAGTGCTCGAGAAATCAATATTATGCACATTCATAATCATGATACATTGAATTATTTAATAACGCAACTAATGTTAACAAATGGAGCCTTATTGCACAGTATTAACATATAGAAGTCCTAAAAACAGTCTAGATTCAGAACTTTCAGTCAATATTTAGCCTGTAGTAGGCTGGATAAAGCGAAAATGTTAGTGTTTGAATTATTAAGCTAACCAATCACGTCTTATAAACATCACTGCAAATACAATCTGAATATTCTTAAACAATAATTGAAAACATATTCACTATTTTGAAGTGCTCCCGATATGAATACTGAGCGTGTTTATCATCACCATACATTGAATTATTGAATAGCGCAACTAATGTTAACAAATGGAGCCTTTTGGCACAGTAATAACATATAAGAGCCCTAAAAATAGTCTAGATTCTGAATTTTCCGTCAACATTTTAGCATGTAGTGGGCTATAGTAAGTGGAAATATTAACTATTAAGCTAACCTATTAGGTTTTCAAGCATTTGCTGCTTTTAAGAACAGCACTGCAAATACAACCAGAACACTCTTAAATAATATTGTTTAAATATTCAATACATTTTGAAGTGTTCGTGATATCAATACTGAGCATGTTCATTATCACCATACATTGAATTATTGAATATCGGCATAAGTCTACCTGGAGGGCATCAAAGCCATAAACTCTTCCCCTGAAGGCCAGTCCTTCAATCGATACACAACGGTTTCTCCATCTTTAGCCTTGGGTCGCTCTGTGCAGAAAGCATGATCAGATTACATCGAAAAGAAGCGAATAATAAGTATCTAGCTTATTCGTTGACTTCAAGCGGCACTCACTTGTGAGATCTTCAAAGCCGTCCCAGAATTCTTTGACACCTGAGTTGGACATTACTCCATCCTTGCAGTTCAAGAGGTCCCCCTGGTGGTCAGCAAACTCTTGGTTGAAGGACTCTGCTTTCCACAAGCTGGCGTTGAGCCTTCGGTGCACCCCAGAGACTAGTACAGGCTACAAAAACAGCACACAGGAAATGGCCTTATAATGACAGCTGAGATCACAACCACTACTAAGACTTGTGTTTTTGACAGTGGAAAAAAATACGGAGCTTGGTCGAAAACACATTGCGAGATGGGTTACTCAGAACTCTAAAGGTAATATTTATATTTACCAGAAAGCCTTGATCTGTGAGTTTATTATAAACTGCTTCTTAAACTAGTTTCTGAAAAACTGCAAACAGCAGTGTCACTGCAAATAAATGCTTCTCTAATTATAAAGAAATATTAGATTTTTTTTTTATTCTGGTTAAAATAAAAACTGATGATTCATTTGTGGTAAAGTAAGAACAGGATTTGTGTTGCTGACCGTGCCAGCTGAAAAAAAAAAGTCTTGTTCGTAATACTTTAAATTCGAAAAACAGACAGAGGATCAGCCTAAAAACCACCAAGGCTGGCATGAAACTGAATGTGTGTGCACTAGAAAGGCAGCTAAAAATAAACATACACAGAATCCCATATAAATTTTAAGTAACAGAGGGTATATACAGAAAACAACAACTTTTTAAAGTCTCTCTTTACATTTAAAGACCTCGTCGCCACTTCAGGTTTCGACCGGTAACATTGGTAACATTTTAACTCATAGTATGTATACTGTACTACTTACTGAGTATGTTTACATGGACACCAATAATCTGATTTTAATATGATTAAGACAATACTCTGATTAGAGAGCGATTTTTTGTTTACCTTAATCTGACTAACGTCAAAATAGAACTAAACTAAGAAATCGGATTAAGATGTGGAGTATGCCGATTTTAGTCGCATTAGTAAAGTTCAGCAAAGACATGTAAACACCTTAATCAATGATTACCGTTGTGTAGGTGTACACATGGCTGTTTGACACTATTCTCTGCATCTACCAAGTTAGTGAAGGACTGCAGACACCTGCATCACAAAATGCAGAGGTTTTTATTCCCTCCATACGATGTGCCCTGTCAAATTCCATTAAAACAACACTCTTCCAGCAGTTCATACTCTCATCCAATATATCGTTCGTCACAGGGGGCATGCTTGAAATGTTATTAAATGAAAGTGACAGTGCCAAACTGCAATTTAAGTTGACAAATTAAAAATGAAACACCCGAAATTACATAAAAACTCCAGAAGAAATGTGGATAGCGTGCTGACGCAATGGCGTTAATTGAATTATGTGCTATAACATGTAAAACAGGATCATGAAAGGAACATTCAAAAAGCAGCTCATGTAAACACCTTAATCATATTATTGTCTTATTCAGATTAAGGCAAATAATTCCATTACAGATGTCCATGTAAATGTAGTGAGTTCTTGTAAGAAACGAATCCTAAATGAAAACGTTATTCACATACTAATCCAGCAGGTGGCGCCCATAACACCAGGAATAATTGCGTTTCTTTGGTTGCTGCAGTAAACAAATTGCCGTGATTTTAAATCTAGCAGGATTGTATGGTTGTTGCTAGATCGAATATGGTTGCTGCTGAAAGTTATTGAGAATTTTTTATATTATTTATTATATTTTCCATTAATTGTATTTTAATAACATCTACCCCCACCCCAACCGTCACAGTAATGTAAAACAGTGCCGAGTATTATTTATGCTATCTATTAAATTACCCTATAAATTGTATTTTTAACTCCTACCCCCACTCCAACCCTAAACCCAACAGTCACAGTACAAATATTAATTATTGTTATGCAGTGTTATAAAAAAATATGTGCTATATTGTTGTGCATATCGCACTTCCGACCGGCCTCGTATTCTATCTACCTTTACCGGATTGTATTGATTTTGCAAACTACACAGCATACCAATATTTTCAGATTAAATTCAGGCAAACTTCAGCATTCGGATACAAAATTTAATGCCATGTAAAAAAGGATTTACGACTTTTTAATATCTTTTAGGGACTTAATTCTTTAAATTGGTTGGCCTCAATAGCCTAATGCTTAGCGTGTTGAGCACTGAGGTGCTTGGGGCGACCTGAGTTCCATTCCCAGATCGAGATCCGTTGCTGATCCTTCCCCTCTTTCTGCCTCCCCACACTTTCCTGTCTATAAATCTCCATTTTCCTATCAATAAATGTGAAAACCCCCCAAAATAATTATAACTTTCTTTAAATTGAACTTTCCCTGCAAACACCCTGTAATATAAAATCAACTATTTTCCCATCAACTGCAAACTTGAATGGATTTGTTCACTGAACTTCGCCGTGTATTACAAAACTGCTTTCATTTTTGGGATGGATATCGGCAATAGTGTTAAAATTGTACTTCTCTTTAGAACAACCTTTGCTTTGGGACACTTAAAATGCTCCCTACACTGGCATCTTATTAGGCTTTCTAGGAAAGTCTGTGTGTTGTTTGGAGATCTACAATTTATGATGCCAGTTGACTTCCTGCAGAGCTGTAAAGTCATGCTTCACTGAGCAGAAGTCAATAAATGTCATCTTGGAACAGGAAGTGTAGCTCAAACCCATAGGGGCAGGGACTACGTCTCTTATCTAGGGCACTATACAGCCATTCCAGGTGGCGTCCAGAACAAAAGTCGATTATATAGTGCACTCATTTAATCCAGAATGCACTGCAATGATGACGCCTGAAGATGGCATGCGTGGACAATCAGAATCTCTATTTACTCTCTTGTTTTCATTCACACTTTTAAGTGGACTATGTTACTGAAGTAATGGATAAACAGGCAAATTATAGACACAACCACAGACTCTCTTCTGTTTCCAAACAAACACAATGATTAGAGTAAAAGGATGTATGCCTGCAGGCTCAAACCTCATCTGAATCCTCCTGCACATTAGTGAAAATCAGGCCGCATTGTAAAGGATCTATAAGCTCATCTGAAATGTGCTGCATTAGAGCAGCACAAGTGAAAAGGTGCTACATCTTATGAAAGCTTTAAGCCACTTATCGTCTGTAATGGTCTAGGATGTGAAGCACGCACTGAATAAATGGACTGTAATGTATGGCGCCTTTCTCTCTGGAAACCCACAGCACAAGTAATGGAGGCTGATGTGACAACTGATGAAAGACAACAGGCAGCTATAGCCAAATTTTATATCATTTTACCAAATGTGACCATAAAACGTTGCAGGGGTATATTTTTGGGAATAGGCAGAAATGCATTGTAAGGATCAAAACTATAGATTTTTCTTTTATGCCAAATACATTTGAATATTAAGAAAAGATTGTGCTCCATGAAGATACTTTGTAAATATAAATACTTATTTTAGGCACTCTATATTGATTTTCTCTTTGTTAACCATACATCAATGGAAAGATTATTAATTCAGCTTTCAGATGACGTATAAATGTAAAAAACTAAAACAAATGATACCTATGACTGGTTTCACAAATTTTGAATAAATAGCAAATTTGACATATTATTTTTATACCTAGTGTAATTTCTTTGCTTGCAAACGTTAGACCACAAAGCTTTTATTTTAGCAAAAACATTTTTTGACAGACTATTCTAATCAATTCTTACCTTAAATTCTAAATAAATTCTAAATGTAAAAACTCGGTTGGTGCAAATTGTTATTTTTAATATGGCATAGTGAAATATGTCACCCAAAACACTGAAAACACAGAAGCATACGCTCATGTATAAATCTGAAAAAACACAGGTCCACCATTCAGTCTGCACATTTGCCTTTGTGATCTGATAATCAAAACCGAGCTAGTGAGTAGGGTCAGGTTATGCACCACTGCTATGCAAAATGTTGTAGGTGAAACCCAGTTATTCAATAGGAATCCAGGTGAGTTATCATTCTGATCAACAAAAAGGTGGTTGATTTGAAAGCAGAAAACATTTTGTGCACTGCATTGCCAACATGACAATGAAGTTTTGTGTCCACGTGGAATTTAGCTGAAGTTACTTTATATTATCAGCAATGGTGATTTACTCACATTTAATACCTGCTTTATTAGAGTTTTGAACCCTGGTCAAGATGTTTCAGGTGTCACACTACACTATAAGAAATATCTGTATTTTCTGTATTTTGTGATTCATTTCTTTTCCTCCCTGTGTATTTCTGCTTTTGAATTGCATTATGGGACCTTGATCTTCATTTTAAATGGCACCAACCAATAATAAATATAATATATATTCAATTATTCAATAAATATAACAATTTATTTCAATTTGTTATTATTAATATTATTATACAATTATTATTCAAAATAAATAACAGAAATCAATCCAAAATGTTACTGGAAAACAATGTAACAACTACAGTTATATGCTAAAATCACTTAAGGAATCTTTTGCATGAATATTATAAAAAAGAAATATATATATATCAGATAGATAGAATTATCTGTTGTCTTAGCCCAGACTCATGGCCGAGAATTATTGTTATGAAGTCTTACCTCCCTGACTCTTTATCCCTCATTTCTGCTTTATAGCCATGCTTAGTCAAATTAACATCATCATCATCATATTCCATAAACTTTAGTTTTGTCGACTTGCAAAACTCGCTGCGTGGCAACACCTCTGCACTAAAGGTTTTTACTCTGGTTTCATAGCGCATGAGCGGCGCGTATTTTATCGGCGTGCATGCAAACAACCGGGATTCACATAGGAGCGCACACGCATCAGTTTGCATTTTCCGTTGTTTCAGTTGCACATACAGAATAACTAACTTGCGCATGCAAAAGACGCCAAATGTGAATGGCCCCTAATGTCTTTATTCTGGGATTGCCACTCTAAATAAATACACTTGCATCAAGTAAATGTATCTCAATGCTTTAACTAGTATATCTTATACATTATATTATTTCAAACTACTAAAATGTCTAAAAGTTACTTGGTTAAACTTTAGAGTTGAATTTTCAACGTCTAAAGTCAACAGAGCAGAAATCAACATCCCATAATGCAATTCACAACATATGGAAATACTGCTAATTAACATATACTTCTTGGTTCCATCAGTGTACTGCAGGATAGTCATGTTAGCTCTAGTAAACGTAAGCAATTTATGCTATCTCTCTAAAAGTTCTATTTACAGCCACTTCACAATATACAAGAATTGTTCTCCTCAGATATGAGCATGAATATGGGGAAAAATCCGATCTCTGTTAATAATCTAGGACCTGAATACAAATATACAAGAGGAGGGCTTTCAGAGAAAACAGAACCAACACCCTAAAAAAAGCTCCAGCAAAACAGAAAGTAGTGCAAAGAATTTGAAGGGCTTGTTTCACAAACCTGTCCTTGTCTCCAGCACTCCCTGAAGAGTTTCCAGTTGCCGCTGTTGCGGTGGTCTTTGAGCCAGAGCAGCTTGCGCTCGTATAGCCAGCAATGGGGGATGTCAGCGTACAGTTTGGGTGGCTCTTCCACTGCTTTCTTTCTCTCGACTTTGGGCTCCTCCAGAGGCTCGTGCTTCAGGTTTAACTTCGTGCCACGGCCTGCCGGGATCTTGTTCTCCACCACAGAGGCGATGATGTCATCCAGGATGTTGGGCATGCTGCGGCCACTCTTGACAATCTGTAGCAGGAAGACAACAAGTGGAAGCTATTTTAGGACAATAAATATATATTTTTACTAGAAATACAGTCTCTATATCCTATATTTTTTGTTGTTGATTTACATTTAGATTATCCACCATTCAAAAGTAAGAACACTCTTTTATACTCTTTTATTACACTTTTTATAATTGATGTTTTACACACCTTTATGTTATTCGGATGATCAATGCTTCATTACTAGTTTTAGGGTGCTTTCACACCTAGACATATGTTTTGATCCTGGCACGTTTGGCCCCTTAGCTTGGTTCCTTTGGGCATGTGAAACCTACAATCGTGCTTGGAACCGAACCAAAACAATCAGCTCGAGATCACTTGAATGAGGTGGTTCAGTTGTAGTGAGAAAGCAATCTGATCAAACTATCAAACCAGGCTATATCACAAAATGCCTTGTTGATGCCAGAGGTCAGAGGAGAATGGCCAGACTGGTTCCAGCTGTTAGAAAGGCAACAGTAACTCAAACAACCACTCGTTACAACCAAGGTATGCAGAAAGAGCATCTCTGAACACACAACATGTCGAAACTTAAAGCAGATGGGCTACAGCAGCAGAAGATCACTCCAGGTGCCACTCCTGTCAGCTAAGAAGAGAAAACCGAGGCTACAATTCACACAGGCCAACCAAAATTGGAAAATAGAACACTGGGAAAACGTTGCCTGGTCTAATGAGTCTCAATTTTGGCTGTGGCATTTAGATGGTAGGGTCAGAATTTCACATCAACAACATGAAAGCATGAATACATCCTGCCTTGTATCGGTTCAGGCCGGTAGTGGTGGTGTAATGGTGTGGGGGATATTTTCTTGGCACACTTTGGGCCCATTAGTACTAATTGAGGATCATGTCAATGCCACAGCCTACCTGGGTATTGTTGCTGACCGTGTCCATCCCTTTATGACCACAGTGTACCCATTGTCTGAGGCTACTCACAGCAGGATAACACACCATGTCATAAAGCACGAATCATCTCAGACTGATTTCTAGAACATGGCAATGAGTTCACTGTACTCAAATGGCCTCCACAGTCACCAGATTTCAATCCAGTAGAGCACCTTTGGGATGTGAGGGAACGGGAAAGTTGCATGATGAATGTGCAGCCGACAAATCTGCAGCAACTGCGCGATGCTACCATGTCAATATAGACCAAAATCTCTGAGAAATATTTCCAGAACTTTGTTGAATCTATGCCACGAAGGATTAAGGCAGTTCTGACAGCAAAAATGGGCCCAACCCGGTACTAGTAAGGTGAACCTAATAAAGTGGCCGGTGAGTGTATATTTTACACCCCTTGACAATTGAAATGAGGCTAGGTATGAGAAATTCTTACAGCTGATTTATATTTAGTGGTGACTAGCCTATGTCTGATGGTGTCACCATACAAAATTAAATTGTACTGTCTCATTTCTCATCTTCATAAATTAAAATAATGATATATGACAGCTGAGCAGAATCCTGGAAAATAAACCAAACTCTGACCAATATGAGGACAGATTACTTGCATGTGACTTGTTTCAATAATTTTGGTTTGTTTAGAAATGTTGCCGTGTGAAAGTGAACCGCAAAAATAACAAAAAGCAACATTGTAACCATTTTAATCCCTGTTTAGGGACAAAACGATCAATCTTCAGGTGTGAAAGCACACTTATATTGGCATCTACACAAAACACCTTCATGTTCTGTTTACTATAATGAGTCCCTGATGAATTTGTCATTGATTTTAAATGCGCAAACTCTTTAAAGAAGGATGGAATTTGATAGGCTGTCAATATTTTTTAGTTTATTAGCTGTGAAGTGATTATAATTATATCATTTCTCTGATTGTACCAAAATACCATTGTCATCTTGTAGCATAATACTCTATGCTGCTAAAGCAATTCTATTTAAATTCAACAAAAACATGTATTTAACATTATAGTAATCCTCATTGGTGTCAACAGGCTTTTACATCAAAAGCTTTCCTGAATAAAATGTGTGCAGACTTGGTTTTCAATATGCTATCATATATGCATGCTAGTACAGTCTCTCTGTTTGATTGGGATCAGTAGGGGGTTTGTTTTCTGACCTGCGAGGCATTGGAGTACACCGGAGCGAATGCGATGCCAGCATCAGTAGAGCCCAGGCGCAGCTTGCCTGCGGTGGTGGTGAGCAGGTCTCGTAGGGTTGATCCCTGCTCCAGGGACGATGCTTTGCTGTGTAGAGACTCCAAAGCATCTGACTGATCTTTCTCTTCCTTCATCTTCCCTACACCTGACTCCTTGTTTTCTGCAGGAAGAGAAAAAAACACCTCAGGTGTCAATCTCTTTCACATCACAAGTCACAACGCAAAAGAAACAGAAAAACTTTTGGTCAAACATTTAATCAAAAGATTCCTATAATATTTAACAGGAAATCTGAAGTCACGGTAAATTGGTAATAGTAACAGATCTTTTCTTTTGTATATTGTGACAGATCAGAGGACTAGTTTGTACATAATGCGTGTTTGTCAATCAAGTTATAAGCCGATTATGCTTAATACAGTTGTGAATGTGCTCTAAAATTTTTTGAGCTTTAAACCATTTTCAGAGGTGTTAAAAAAACAAACGTCCAAAGCATTTCATAGTGTGCTCGAACATATATAAACCGCCACAAAAAACACCTACTTCTAGTCTATTGAACTAACATCTCCCTTTAAATTCACTTTAAGAGCTTCTGATTCAGAATCACACTATTGTGTATTGTACCAAAATACATGAAATAATATCAAAATCATTTCTGCCATTCACAATTTTTATTTGCTATTCCTATTTACTAAGGATCAGAACAGTTTGTTCAATTAATAAACTTGAGCACCACACTCTGTGTGAGTGATTCTGCAAAAGTGATGTGCATGACGAAATATGAGGAATATGAGGCATCTCTATGAAATGCAAACATAAGTTGGAATAGACTGATTTCACGCGGCTGCCATTTTAAAAGCAAAATCGAGGCTGTGATGGGAAGAAACCCGAAAGTATCGCTTGGAGTTACATAGGAATGTTGTGTACCTGGCTGTATATCTTATCAGCGAAGAGAAAGTGACACAAATTTACAATTTCACCGCTTTTCGAGTGACCCGAAGGTCCGTTCTGAATGATTGGTGAAAATAAAAAGGGATATCAGACCTAATTTTTTAGCTAAGTAAAGGGAAATGGCACAAGTTAGCTTACGTTTTCTTTCCCAAACACACTTTTTAGATGCCTTTTATCAAACTTAAGTTAATGAATTGATTCTTTCACTACATTAGACTTGTCACGATACTGAATTTCGGTATTGAAATAAAAAAAAAAAAAAACGTCCATTTCTTGTTAACATTTAAGCACTGTTGATGGCGTTCTTAAATAGTGCTGATTTGCCATTGTTTTCACATGCTCAACAGAAATGACTGTGATTGGCCGAGAAGGTCATCAGTTCACCCACTCTTTTCACGATGTTTACTGAATGCAAACACAGACGAGCAATCCGCTTGATGACTCGACTGATCTTCGCGGCTGCTTTGTGCTCCAGTGTCCGTGTATCTGTGTTTGCAATCGATAAAGAGCATGAACTGATGACCTTCATTTCTGTTGGGTACAAGTAAATGCTACAGCAAATCAGCCGTTTAAGAACACGCTCAGCGGCGCTTAAATGTTAGTGGGAAATGGACCTTTTAAAACTTTAGTACCGGGACAAGACTATTACAGACAACATGAGGGTGTGCTACAGAGGACTGCATCGTTTTATCACTCACCGGGTAACATAGACTGAAGCAGAAAAGCATCGCCATGGTGTTTACCTGCTGCCATAAACTGAAGCCTAGGAGGACACTGCGTATTACTAGTAGAGATTGTGATGTTGTTTGATGCCTAATATGCTTTAGATTGTACAAATAAACTGAACTGAATGATAATAAAGTGATGTTTACACCATATCTACATTTTGAAATCGCTGCAACACCTGGAGGTTTGTAGTCTAAAGCATGTTGTTGCAATGTTTACAGTGCTGATCCTATACTTCCAGGTTTCTGGTGGCTGATGTATTAAGCGTATATAAACTCCATGTGTTAATACCCGATAGAAAAGGAAATGAGTCTGCTTCTTTTCCACTAGGCAGTTTAATAGAGTTCGGTGCAGTACAGCTTCAGTTCAACTTAGTTCGGCTCGGTTTGCATTTCCACTGCAATTAAGTACCATTTAAATTTGGAGGGATTATTGCTCTATTTTACTCCGTTTACAAAACATTGTCTTTCCAGGTTGTCTCATCCAGTTGTCACCGAATACCTTCATTGGCTACCAGTAAGAGGAACATCTGGACCTCTTCTACTGACCACAATGCTGCCATTTCGGGTGTCTTTTTCTTTTGGTGGTATAAACAGTTTAGTTGTGTGAACCAACATGTATTTACAGGGTTTTTGGTCACAAACCGAATTACGCTAGTAGTGACAATCCTTTGGGACTAATCAGTGATCAGCTGAGTGCATACATCATGTTGTGGTAATGATACAGCTCACTTGGAACCTCAATACTAGATAATGGAAGGCAGTGGAAAATCCCAGAAAAGTGAGCCATACTGAATCGAACAGCTTTTTTATTTGACCACTTGTGATTAGATCACTGAAAAAAATGTTAACACTAGCTTAAACCAGGCCTTCAGTGAAATAAAATTATGGAAAAGAAGAAGAAAAAGTTGGACAGGACCTCGATACGTCTATTAAATAGGATTTTCAGATGCTGGACTACACTGGACGAGTCAAGCCGAATGAACGTGTTGTTCACAGTAAGATCTATAACATGAATTCATAAAACAGAGTCCATTTTCATTTGATGCTGACATTAAATGAACTGGAAATATTTTATTGATTATATTGTCCACAGAATACGGTGCTGATATGCGCCATTAATCAAGTCTATAGTTTCCATTGGCCAGAGAGAAGTGGGCTAAAAACTTGCATATATTTACACAAGGAAGGATTGCAGATTATTTCAGACTTGTGGGTGGGCTCTTTTGTAATTACCGAGAACAATGTGTTCAACTGCAAGGCGCAACTATTCCATGGCATATAAGTATATGCTGCAGTGCTATATTTTGAGTGAAGGTGAAACACCCAAAAATGCAGAAAGTTCAAATTTAAGCACAGCTGCTAAAGGAAGAAACTTCTATATGCTGTGCAACAAACGGAACTGAACGGGTGCCAACAACCACAGGGCTGATGGTCTTTTAAGTGCAGTTCATTTGGAGAGAGCAGCGTGTTCGGCATGTGAGAGCAGCTGAAGAACTGGATAAACATGTGGTTAGGTGAGCTCTTTGGACTGTGGGAGCTCACAACTGAGAAGGCCTGTAACGTGCACCACTAAATGTGAGGATTGTGGAATGCTGGCGGTGTGTCAAGCACGCACACGCCTGCAGAGAAAGGAAAAAAATCACTGGGGCAGATGGCAGACCCCCAGTACTTTAACCCTTTTTGACGAGTATGATCACACCGGTGTGATTAGAAAGTTCACAACATATGCCATCAGATGCTACATTCAAATCTGATTCCCTATGATGGAGAGTAGAAAGAGGCGCACAGCGCTTTTGTTTTCAAACAAATAACATATTTTAGGGTATTCAGACATTCCAATGCACATAAGTTCTAGCAAAACATAGCATGTATGGTTTGTAAAATACACAATGATGTTTAATGGAGATGTCTATGTTTCCATCAACCTATTTTGGATATGCGCATAAAAAAACGGTTGATAAAAACGGCAATATGGGCATAAACTAAACTTTTCATTCGATAAGAAAAAAATGCACATAAGCTAAAATAGAAACACTTTTACTGAAAAAATTCCAGAATGCAAATTAAAAAAAAGGTCATGTGATTTTATTATAAGAGATTATATGATGATAAAAATGTGTTAATGGACAAACACGCCGGCTGAGCACATTCTAAAACATCTGAAATGCTTTAACTAATTTAGTATTAGTGTTATTATATCATTAATTACCTCCATAATAGTCAAGACTGCCTGTGCTCCGCCCCTCACTCCTTCAAATGCTATTACACGTTCATTTCGTGATGTCATTTGTCTTCTGAGTCATTTATTAAACAAAGAAAAGATTCACGCAGCTTCTCCTACCACAGTAAATTACGTTTTTACTTTTAATATTTGGTGCCAGTTAATCAGGAAGTGAATATTTTATAAGTTAATTGTTGAAAAAAATATTATTTTTAAATCTAAATTTAGCAGGAATGGTTGGGTCGGGTAGAAAATTTTTAAGCGGGCAATGGGTGAACAAAGGCTGAAAAGGGAGCGGTCAGGTGTGGAATAAAAACCTTGCGAGAGCGGGACCTCTAACACGTGCAGCGTCTCAATTAGCAAATAATCCATTCTAAATAGTATTCAAAAATAGAATTGGTTTGTCCCAAACTGTACTGTTGAAAAGAGTACGCCAAAAGTACCTGGGTGGTCTATTATTTCTGGTAGAAATTTGAAGTGTAGAAATGGGTGGATGCGAATTCAGTTTTTAACTACAAACTCAAGTAAAAACTGTAAACAAACTACAAACCTGCAAGGCACGCTAGACCACAGCTGTCAAATCCAATTCCTAGAGAGCCGCAACTCTGCACAGTTTAGTTCAAACCCAAATTAAACAAACCTGATCAAGCTAACTGAGTCATTCAGTTATGTTTGAAACCTACAGTTAAGTGCATTGAAGCAAGGGCTGGAACAAAACAGTGCAGCGCTTCGGCCCTCCAGGAACTGGATTTGACACCTGGTGCTAGACTAACAATCAAATGTAGAGGGGCTTTGGTAAAATTGTTTAAATGACTATTAATTAATATCTAGCCATTTGTAAAACTTTTAAATCATATTTCATTTAATTATCTATTTATTTTTAATTCATATTTTTAAATAGGGATGTAGCCCCAATATGTGCATAGATCACAGGGGCTGTGGTGGGTCACTTGAAAAGCTTGATTGGTCACCATTTCTAAATAACTGTCACATTAAATAAAACTCAGAGGGAGTATGTAAAGCTTACATGTAAAAGGGTTAAGAGTACCTGAAAGTTTTATTGTTCTGTACCCACCCTTCTTTTCCTCACGGGACTTCTGCTCGGCCAGATCAGCCAGGAAGTGCAGAGGCGACTGGGACTCGGGTGGAGTGAACTTGCTGTCGGTGCTGGTGTCGCTAGCGGGACTGCTCCCACCGTTGGCTTCCACCTTCAGAGAGTTCTGCTGGCCGCCCTCGGGCTTACACAGAGAGATCTTGTTGCTGTGATTGAGCACGTTCTGTAACACCTGTGAAAAGAAAGAGCGTGTCAAAGACAGCTCAGCGCTTCGAGGAGAGTGAGGGGAAATATTGCGGACTATTAGCGGTTGCGAGATGAAGCGGGGCTGTATTCAACATTCCTCTGCAGAACAGAATGTGAAAGTTTGCAGTGATTGAGAGAGTGTGAGAGTTTGTGTTTACACTGAGAGCACACTCATTTCTCAAATAAGGCTGATGGCTTATTTCATTTCATGTGAATGGGAATGTGGTGGAGAGAGACAGATGTACGGTTTTGTACAATGGGATGGACTGTATTTAGTCTTTAAATCAAATCTAGTTATCACAGTTCATGTTCTTTTGCTCCACGGGATTTTTTTTGGCAAGACGCATTAACAATTGACAGTATGGCTATTGAACAGTGGATTCAGAGTCTCCCAGGTGACTACTAAAGGAGTGAACAGAAAGTTCCGTCACATGTTATACATTACTTTTCTAGTGAGGATAAACTAATCATGCGACTACTGGATATCAAATTGAATCAAATCATTTTAGAGAAATTACAGTAGCAGATTTGACATGAGTAGAGTAAAACAATTCCGCCAGTATTAAGAGCAATTTATCTGTCAGTGTTTGGCCTTAGTATAATTGTCTTGTTTTCCTGCAGCAAAGCCTTAATTTGTTTCTTTTAATGTAAAATTAAGAGAGTTTTTACTTTTAAAGATGTTTTTCTCCCAATTGGAATGTAAATGTCCAAGCAAAACCTTTAAAAATATGTAAATTGTGGGGATAAAAGGGAAATGTCTGTTGTAAGTGATACTGAAGAAGAGATTTCTGGCTCAGTTCAGCTGCATAAAATACTTATGAGAACACTACCTTTAATAATAGACATTGTAAATGAACATGGCTTTCTTTGCATTGGTCTGAAACAGCACATTATGAAAACCCCTTGAATAAAAACAATATTTTATCTGTTATGTCTTCTCTTAAGATACTTGTACAGAAGTCTGCAATACTGACAAAAAGGCATCTAAAAATGCAATTGGTTTGATGACAATAATGAAACAACATTCTGTTGAGTGTTGTGCTAGGACTATTTCTGGTTTAGGTCTGTCTCGAATAATTAACTAGGAAACCAAAACCACCAGTAGGTGGCAATAGTCGCTGTCTTTATGAGTAATTCATTGAATTATAGGTTGTTTTCAAATACATGGTTCTGGTGACGTACAAAAACATTCAGATGGAGAGCAAGTAAGTGAAAGGGAGACATAGAGGAAAGTCTGTATTTGTGCGATTTATACAGATATAAACAGAAAATAAGCACATATGTTGGACATGATCCTTATTTCATGAAAAGGGCTGAGTTTTCTCGGCCCTCAAACTAAAATATATTTGCCTGTCATCGAGGCGATACATACTCTAAGCTAGCACATGAAAAAATAGTATAGTATTTTGAAGCACACTATAGATATTTACTTGAATTAAACTGTCGAAGTAATTATATTGTTGTTGTGATACATAAGTAATAAACAAATTATCCAATTGATATCAGTTTTCTATAACCATCACCATGCACCACAGTTACATTACAGTATTATTACGGATCAAATTCTGTGGTATTCAAAAAAGTTGTACACATTATTCACTTTACTATGTGGTTCAAGAACATGTTTATTATAAATTACTATAGTTATAGTTACTGTAGCTAATTCCCTCACCGTGAAAAGGGGTGAAAAGTGCTCCACAGTAATAACGTCTAGTTCTGCTCGCAAGGGTAGCATTTCTTTATTTGTTCTGTCGATGAACTTATCATTAACAGACATTCACAGCTGCTGCACATCTCAGTGTTAACCTTACGTTTTTTTTTATTATTTTGCCGAAATGGATTATTGCAAAACCAGGCGAAGATTTCATTGCAGCGATTACATGTAGGGTACGTTATTTATTTGGTCCTGGATTTTGTATAAGTGTGTTGGTGACTGTATCTGATTTTTTATAGAACACATTAACATACATTTAGCTAGGCCTGTATATAATCTTTATTAGTGCTGTCAAACGAAATATTCAAAAAAAGTTTGTACACATGGATGTATTGAATAAATGTTTATTACACACCGACTTTTTTCCGTTTTTCAGCTAGATTCTTGAAAATTCGCCCCTTTATGAGTAAAACCCTTAAGGGAAGTCTATAAAAGCTATTCGGGATTTTTTATTTTGGCCAATTTAAACATTTATAAACAACATAAAACAGACATATTTTGATGTTCTGATAGCGATTCCTATGTAGAAGAATCACTTCCTGCCCTCCATCCAAGTCTCGCGCATCATTAATGATGTCATGTGAAAACAAACTATTCATTTAAATGATTCATTCAAAATGATTGATTCATTTTTAAACTAGTTGACTGCTATTATGAATAAATCATAGAATCATTGTCTTAATAATAATAATACTAATAACACTACTAATAATAATAATAATGGGCGAACCAGTGGCGCAGTAGGTAGTGCTGTCGCCTCACAGCAAGAAGGTCGCTGGTTCGATCCTCGGCTCAGTTGGCATTTCTGTGTGGAGTTTGCATGTTCTCCCTGCGTTCGCGTGGGTTTCTCCCGGGTGCTACGCTTTCCTCCACAGTCCAAAGAAATGCGGTACAGGTGAATTGGGTAAGCTAAATTGTCCGTAGTGTATGAGTCTGTGTGTGTGGATATTCCCCAGAGATGGATTGCTGCTGGAAGGGCATCCGCTGCGTAAAAATGTGCTGGATAAGTTGGCGGTTCATTCTGCTGTGGCGACCCCGGATTAATAAAGGGACTAAGCCGACAATAAAATGAATGAATAAATAATAATAGTAATAATTCCTTGCTTTTATATAGCGTTTTTTTGGCCACTCAAAACACTTTACACATAGGCGAGAGTCTCCTCATCCACATCTGTTAACTTAACTGATTGGCTCAGATCAGGAACAAAACAATACCAAAATTCCACAACTCATTGTATATACAGGAATCAGAGAGTGGAATTCATACTATTTACAACCCTTTCTATACATTTCCAGACCTAACATTGGCGACATTTTAACTTGCACTATATTTACTGAACACTGATCGAAAGAAACTAATGCTAAACTAAAACATTATTTATATACTAAATAATAATGCTAATCCAGCAGGTGACTACAGAACAGCATAAATAACAGTGTTGCTTTGTGTAACTGCTGTAAACAAACCAGATTGACGTCAAATCAAGCAGGACTTCATTGATATAATTGCAAAATTTGCAGTTAAATCCAGGCAAACTTTAGCATACAACTACACATTGTGCAATACAAAATCACAATCTTGTAAAATATCATTTAGGACTTTTAATACTTTATAAGGGCCTTCATTTTCTTTAAATTAATTTAATACTTTTTAGGGACAGCCTGCAACTGTACATTCCAAACACCTTTATTCGCATTTTTGTTAAATTAATAAAAGGCAAGACACTCACACATACCTGGGAGACGCCATTAGTTGAGGGCAGCTTGTTGAAGAGGGTGTTCTGCTTCCCAGCACACGAGCAGTGTGATTTAATGCTGTATTTCTCCCTGAGCATGTGCATAGCGCTCACCAGGTCCGTTAGAACTTAAAAAAAAAAAACACAAGACAAAATAAACACGTCAAAAGAAGCAGTCTTTTTCTCTTCTCCCAGCCAAAGGCGTAACCACAAGCAATTTGGGATCGTGCCAGAGCGAAAGCGTCTCTTTCCATACCAGTTCCAGGAATGATCTGTGTTGGCATCAGGTGCTTGTGATCATGAGGCTGTCCCTTGACACACTTCAACCAGGCGTACAGCTCTTTATCTGCGGAATAAGAAAAGGTGGATTACACACAGAAGCTGAGAGCGACAACGGCGCACAGAGAAGGGCGCTGTCACTGGCCCGTTTTCCTAAAGAGGAGCCACGGTGTTTATGCTTCAAAGTAAATAAGGAGCTCTGAGGCTTGGAAGTAAAGATACACAGATGCGATTCAGCAGAAGTGACACCTCTAGAGCTGGAGGCGTTTTTTTGTTAAAATGCCCTGCGGCAGAACTCAAGCCTGGAGAAGACAGGAAGAGCTGCTGCAGAAAGGGGGACTTAAATGAGAACAAAGAAAAGGAAGACACGAAGACGGAGGCACATTTCAAACCCTGGAGACAGCTGAGCTAGACGGTCCTACATTCACATCCTATTGCACGCACATGCAAGCTTTGCCATCAAAACCACAGTAAAAATGGCATATTTACCCCATTACAGCAGTCAGAAATTAACAATCAGTCTTATGTTTCCTTTTAGCATACATAAAATGTATGTTTTAACTTAAGACGTGTTAGGAAATCGATATTTAGTGTAATAATCATCATTTTTTTAATATTAACATCTTGGAAAAAAAAGTCATCAGGCACACTACCTGAAAAAAGTCTTGTCGCCTATCCAAGTTTTAGGAACAACAAATAATAACTTGACTGATCATTTGGTATCAGAAGTGGCTCATATGAAAGGCAAAGGCCTCTAGATGACGCTTATTTTACCAGCATAAAATATGATCATGCCTTGATTTTTAATGATTTAATTAGCACAGTAAGGTCTGACTTTGCTTTGACAAAAGTCTTGTCACTTAACAGAAATAATGTACAGCTATTCAATTGGTTCAGTCAAAAAACGGCCGCTATAGTTATAAAGTGACATGCGTCTGTTCATTACAGCATGAGCTGCAGAGGCTGCGCAGAGCGTGAGTCACCATAAGCGAGAGGTGCGGGCAGCCGAAAACATTTGGATGTGTTTATAGAAAAGGCCTTTTGTACTATGCATTGATATCAATAGTACGGTGGCCGGGAAGTGCAAAACAAAATTACTAAGTTTGAAACACTTTTACAAAGCTTGAGACAAATTTACATTATAAAAAAACATTTTTACCTTTCATCAGACACAATTACATAGGAAAAACAATTTTACAAAGGACGAAACAAATTTACATTTTAGAAAACAAATTAACAAGACGCAAAACACTTTTACAAATCCCGAAACAAATTTACAATTACAGATTCCCTACGGAAAGGGAATGTACCAACTGCCGGAAGTGACGCCGGAATTTACTAACTAAATTTGTTTCGGGATTTGTAAAAGTGTTTTGCGTCTTGTTAATTTGTTTTCTAAAATGTACATTTATTTGTTCCTTTGTAAAATTGTTTTTCCTATGTAATTGTGTCTGATGATAGGTAAAAATGTTTTTCAAAATGTAAATTTGTCTCAAGCTTTGTAAAAGTGTTTCAAACTTTGTAATGTTGTTTTGCACCTCCCGGCCACCGTACAATGGGGATGCAACGATTAGCCGATTTCATTATTAACTGCGCTTTAATTTGTCACAGTAAAAAAAAATTTTTCAATATGTTTATTGATTTTTTCGGTTTTCTCCCGATGAAATAGGCATACAACAACAATGCAGCCTACACAGCACATATCTACACCCTTTCTATATATGTATATACACATATACATACACACATAAGCACATTAAAATAACATAGGTAAATAAATATATAAACATCTTACAATGAGAGTTGTGCATGCCTTTCAGTGCAATGTAAACAAAAGATAAGTAAGACTAATTATTACCAAAATGATTATGTATGCATGAACGCAGATGGGAACAACAGTTAATCTAAATTGCTACTTACCTAATATAAAGCTTGAATTTACATTAGACGTGATAACCGTGAAACCATGATTATTTTTCAGACTACATAATCGTACAACCATCTATAATTGTTGCATCCCTAATTGTTATGCAGTTAAAAACAATACATATGAATGTGTCTGAATGTAGAAAAAGCCTACTGAGGCAATGCACTGCTTTTGTTGTGCTCTGAAATACAACACTTGAATGTTTGTACGAAAAAAAAGTCTATTGTGCAATGCACTGATATTTTGTGGTTTTAAAATACAATATATTAACATTTTAATGTAGAAAAAGCCAACGTGGCTGTCTTAAGGAAAAATAAAGCATATGCGCTTTCCTATGCTGTTGTGTTAACACTCATATAGCAAGTCATGTCTCTACAGCCCTTCGTTTGGGATGCTTTTCATGAACCGGCCCCCATGATCAACTAACTGAATAGCCCTGAACTAGGCTATGTTTTAACTTATGCACTACTGGTGCAACCGGCCCCAGAATAATAATATCATATTCAACAGTGCTCACTTCTGAGAAACTGAACATGCGAACACAATATAAAAAATAAAATCATAGCTACAAGCCACAACTGTCAAAATAGTAAAATAACATTAATGATAATAAAAACTATTAACTAGAGGGACATCTTTGCCCCCACATTATAATTTGCCGGGAGACTTTCAATGGTGTTATGACTTTCTGAGCCAGTGGCATATTAACAGCAGGAGTGTACAAGCACAGGCAGTGTTCAAAGGTGAATATGAAAATGACGACTGACCTTTGGAGCTCTTCCTCTCCTTGGCCTTATAACAGTCCAAACACACCACAAATCCACATTTTTGGCAGACCCAGTGAATGTTAAACAATGTGGCTTCACATGCGTCGCAGCTCTCTCTCACCCCGCGCACCGCTCTCTTCCAGGCGATCTTGGCTGCAGAGCAAAGCAAACAAGAGGAGGATGAAACAGACATAGACAGACTTTTTCCACCTTCTTCTTTCCTTCGCTGGTAACATTTCAGAACATAATGTACTACAATTTTACTCACAAAAGAGTATGTTTCTATACGTTTTAACAAAAAAGCTAAACAAACAGTAAACACTGTGTTGGTCAATGCAACACACCATCTTTCTTTATCCACGTAGTCGCTGTATTCTCAGTCATAACCAGCTGACAGAATTTGTCTCCAATGTAGCTGAGGATGTATTTGGAGGTTTCCAGGTCCAGGTTGTTTTCTTCATAAGCGTCTGACGCCCAGATACTGTGAGCCTCTTCATCATATTGATCAGGAGAGGAGAAGCCATCGATCCGGATCACTCCGTTCTTACTGTACGAGAGGCTGAAAGTCAAAGAAAATGTGCAATTAATCATCTTTCTGTAATAGTTTTCGAGTCCAGACTAAATCAAAAAAGCGACAGAGCTTTTTCTGTGGCTGGTCTGCTGTTGTGGAACAATCCGCCCCCATGAGATTAGAATGGCACCATTACTATCTTTTTTTTTTTTTACTTACCTATTCAATTTGGTCTATTAATATTATAGCAATAAGTTTGTTGATTGCTTTGTTTCTAAATATATATAGTTGAAATATATACAGTTGAATTATTACAAAGGATGTTTAACAGAGCAAGGACATTTTCACAGTATGTCTGATAATATTTTTTCTTCTGGAGAAAGTCATATTTGTTTTATTTCAGCTAGAATAAAAGAAGTTTTTAATTTTAAGGTCAAAATTATTAGCCCCTTTAAGCTATATTTGTTTTTTGATAGTCTACAAAAAAAACCATCCTTAGACAATGGCTTGCCTAATAAGCCTAACCTGCTACTAATTTTAATTTGTCAGTAACCTGGGTTAAGTGTTTCCTGTGAACTGTACACCATTGCAAAATCGGCTCGTTTAAGATCTGTTATCTTTAAAAATCAGCGAACTCCACTGCCATTTACTCCACTGATATTGAAAAAAGTGGGTCTCAGATTGTACAAAAAGCACTGCATTAAATTACATTTCCCCCGCCACGTCTGTAAAATATGAACATTTATTTTACCCCAGTTTATTCAAAAAACTTCTGCGCTAGTCTGTCGATTCTGATGGGCACGATAAACGATTTTTGTCTCGTTTTTTATGCTTAAGTAACTAAATGAATGCTAAAGTCTATTTAATTGATTGTATTTCAATTACATAACAACATCGATACTGTAAAATAACCGTATAAACTTGAAAAAAGTCACAATAACCGTCCACTGGAAGTTTATCAGTATGGGAAGAACCATTAGCTCTGCATTTACTCTATTAACCTCGTTAAGCCTTTAAATGTCACTTTGAGCTGTATAGAAGCGTCTTGTAAAATATCTAGTCAAATATTTTTTACTGTCATCATGGCAAAGATAAAACAAATCAGTTATTAAAAGAGTTATTAAAACTATTATGTTTAGAAAAATCTCTCTGTTAAACAGAAATTGAAACAGAAAAATAAACAGGGGGGCTAACATTTCTGGCTTCAACTGTATCTATTGTTTCTCTAGGTTTTATTGCCATGTTTTCATAATTATCTCAATATTTTTACAGAACATTACTCTCTCTCACAGCACTTTGATCAGTCTTGTGGCTGTATTTAAATGTGCTTTATAAATAAATGAACCTGCAATTAGAATTTATTTCCTGAACTCCTGTAACAACAAAATGAGGGGAAAACTGCACAAGCGAGACAGGGCAGAAAAAAACTACAAGTAAATTCTGTGAGATGACATCAAACTGGTTCCATAAAAAAAACTAAATAAAATTGAAAAAACAGTATTTTTAACCATGTCAAATTTGGTTACAACCACAACCACCGGAAACATAATTCTACATTCACTTTGTGCCTATAGACGGGACAAATTAACAACTTAACAAGTTAACTAGGTTAACTTCACATGACAGTTCGAGACAATGTTGTTTACTTAGTCTAATACAAAAGGAGCTTATTTCAAGCTGCAATAAGCAGTTCAGTTGTTTCAAAGAGACATTAATCTTTTGCTGTTCTTGGCATATCCTTTATTTTGTATTACCTTTATTTTTATAGTTTATTTCTAGCATTTTATAGCTTGTTTCCACTATAAAAGGAGTATTCTTCTAGTATACTCCTCATGTCTGTATTGTACTTCAATAATGAGACCAAAATAGGAATACTCCACGTCTTCATTTGATTTCTGTTTTCGATTATAACTTTATAATTAACTAAATTAATCTTAATCAGACTCTTAATCAGGCCCAATCCCAATCCCAATCCTGCCCCTTAACTAATCCCCTTACCCCTTATTTCGTGTGTTCATGTGAAGGGGTAGGGGTGTCCCAATTCTCTTTAGCTTGAAGGCATAGGGCTAAGGGGAATGGCCAGATACCCCTTTGAAACAAAGATTTTTCAAGACCACACTCGAAACTAAGGGGTAAGAAATTTTCCAAGAATACACCATCTACAACGGCAAAATGGCTACACACGAAATTAGGGAGATACACAAGTTATTACTTTTTGTCATTATTGCAAATTTTTACAACAAACAATTATGTTTTTAATGCATTCATAACCGCATAACAGTCTATCATACCCAGTCAGAAAAGTCTGGTGGCTGGGATTGAGCTTTTAACAGTGTCTGGTATAATGTTAATGTTGTTTTCGTGTCTTTCCATAGATGAATATGACCGCGGTGTAAATACACAGTACAGTTATGAGTTGTTATCGTAATGATAACAGGATATTGCTGCCTTTTGTGATTTCTTGAAGAAAAATACCAAAAAAACAATGCAACTGTAATAACTATAGCAGTCGGTGTAGTTGATGTCATATGTAGTAGGAGATTGCGATGATATATAATGGGGTGTGCGGGTGTTACAGTGGTGTCCCATTTCTTAAAGGTAAAATTTGAACATTTATTTCAAGGGCCAAGGGAAGTGGTAGGGGTAAAAAAAATAGAATTGGGATTGAGCCTCAGAGTATTGTCTTAATAGTGTTAAAATCTGTGTATTGGTGTCCATGTAAATGTACTTTTAGTTGCAAAACCTGAAAACTGTACTTGTATATTGGATTAAACTCATTTATGACAGTGAGTCAGTTATTCATTCATAATAGCAGTCATTTCGCCCTTAGCTGATGATTGATTATAAAGTGCGTTTGGCATGCTGTATCGGGAGAAAGCCCTGAGTTCATGAGATCCTCGAGCCCTGGGCTCTCCCCCTTTGCCGAGTGAGAGGGGAGTATGAGTTCAGGTAGTAGAGATGCGCGGATGGTGGTTACAGCCGCGGAATCCACGGATAAACCGCGGATCGGGCGGATGACGTAACGAAAAATGGGCGGTTGTACTGTTTTTGTACACATAGCTGGCACACCAACGAAAAAGCCTAGGACTGACTTTACAGAATGAGAGGAGGAATCGGATACACTAATTCTGGATGAAGTACAGAAGTCTTCCTCTACAAAATTAAGAATAGACGGATCAGCAGAGGAAAATCTACTTTCCTTTTGGGAGAAACAAGGCAGTCATTCCCACGTCTACAGCACCTTGCCAATAGAATTCTATGCATTCCAGCAACAAGTGCTGCGAGCGAGCGCTCCTTCAGTGCAGCAGGGCGCATTAGAGGCGAGGCGCTCTTGTCTGAATGTTGAAATGATGTGTCAAAATGCGTTTTCTATTAGGCTACTATAATAATAAAAAAATTGTGCAGTACAGTGCGTTTCATTTAGGCTATTTATTTATTTATTTTTGTCCCTGTGCACCGATTGGAGACGGAGTTCACTGCTGATATTCTGAGAGCTTTATAGGGTGCTTCTCATTTCTTATTTGTGTATCCTCGTTTCCTTCCCTTGCTTTCTTTCCTCGTCTTTCGACCCCTATAGGATGCGAGGGAAGGACGCAAAAAAAAAAACTCAAGGACCGAGGAATCGAATCAAGTGAAAAGACACGTCCTCGTATTGTTTAGCATCACTTCAAAGCGTCAATTAATGCTGGATTTGACTTGCACGTTTGGATTAACTGCATGTCATTAAAGTCATTCTCTATTTTCTAATAATCAATAAAGAAACATTCATTTAATAATAAAAAGGAATAAGCCATTCAAATAAAGAAATCAGTCAGCAGATGGAGGGCGAGTGTGGTTTTAAAAATTGGTCAAAAATGTTAGTGCGGATGGATGGCGGACGGATGATGAGTTTTATGATGCAGTTGCGGATGAAATAATAGCCCATCCGCGCATCTCTATCAGGTAGGTTTCGAGAACTCCCCTACTTGATAATAGTAGATGTGGATTATGAATGCTATAGAGTTTGAATACTGGATTCAACGCTTGTCTATGGTGTCAATTTAGTTTTGTCAATTTACTTGTGTAACATGCTTTTGGACTGTAGGAGAAAACGGGAGAGCCCGGGGAAAACCCACGCAAACATGGAGAGAACATGCAAACTCCACACAGAAATGCCGACTTGGTAAGATCTGAGCCAGTGACATTCTTGCTGTGAGGCAATGATGCTAACCATTGGGCCTAAGTGCTGCCCTGACGAGGAAATGGGAGGAGTAGGGGTGGAAGGGGAATTCTTCAAGACAAAGATGGCTAAGGTAAGATACTCTGGTTATTTATAGTGATTTAAGAATCGTCTAATTGGTGAATCATGAGTTAGCTAATGAGGACCAGCTGCTATCAATCATAATAACGTGCTCCTTTCGAAATTAGTTTATAAATAAACTTCACTTAGTTTCTAAATGCATCCACTATTTTGAATGAATCATTTGAATTAATAATTCTGTGAATTACTTTTCAAAGACAGGCACTAGGCACCACCCGCTGTTAGTTTTAGTATAGTAGGTATTTATTCACTGGTGTTTGGTTAAGCACAGTTCCAAAAAAGAAATAAAATCAATGTAAAATCAATTTAAAACTCTGTAGTAGCACTGTACTCTCGCGTTTGTTTTTGAAAACACTATTGGTTGGGTTTAGGGAAGGGTTTTTCTGTGTGTGATCTGTACCACAAGCCCTGCATTCTTATGAATGTGCAAGACAGTTGTGTATCTGAAATGTAAAACAAAATGTACCCTATGTGACGAATTTCAGATTCACAAAAACGTAGACAGTGCCCTCTAGCAGATTTGTCATCTGAATTGTGCAATGAAACTTACCCAGAGAAGTGTATTTTACATTTCGCAAACAATTAGGCTAATGCACATATATACATTCAGTCTGGGTTGGCTATACTACACATATTATCAGTATTTCCATGCAACCTGATGATGGTGTGATTAATAGTTCTTGATTTATGCTCACCGGCGGAAGTGGTAGAAGCGGCAGAAGACAGGTGAGTGAGTAGGTTCTTCTCCCTTCTTGGTGCGGATGGAGCGGCACTCTCTGCACTTCTGTAAGTTGGGTCCAATTTCTGTGCATGAATCATCCTGTAGGAAGGACTCACCCGTCTGCTTTAACTTCTTTACCTTTCTCCAATCCTTCAGCACTGACCGGGGAATGCCATCTATAAATTACATGCCATTTATTACATTAGGTTTTCTATTTAAAAATGAACTGCATGAAAATGAATATCTGAATAACTAGTGCAAAATGATTAGCCTGGCTAATCAGATTAGTTCAGATTAGTTCATTATAATCACAAGGTGCAGATGGTGAGATACTTGTGCAAAGTGTAAAAAGTTAATATTTATGTTGTAATAGCATGTAAGCACATTTATGAAGCATGACAGTCGTGACCTACTGTAATGTTAGTGACCCAGAGCTTAAGAAGCTATGCAATTACAAAAAAGAGGCTCAATTTTGCTACACAGCAATCATCAGAAAGGACTAATAAAAGCCCAAGTGTTCTTGGAGATGTTTTCCACATAAATGTGAGCGTTCTAGGAGAAGCCATTTGCACAGCTGTTGTCCAGATGTTCACCAAACACACCTCACTCTCTTTCTCACACACAGCAAACCTTCCAGTAACCCCAAAGTTTAGGCCAACACGAAACAGGAATTTACAACACGTTTTACTTGTGAATTGTCTAACATTGTCTATGTTTAAACTAAATTTAAGTATTCAGTAAGATTCAATACACATTTGATGCATCAGAAATTCACAGAACGGTAAAAAGGGGTGTTAAATACAGGGCTCGAAATTATGCGCCCAAAATTTTGTCTATGCAACCTATATATTTGGGAACATTTGTGCGAGTGTATAAAATTGTTGTGTGCAACTAATTTTTACTGCAAAATGTTCACCACATGCGAGGATTCGAGAGACATTCATGCAGAATGCATCTTTGCACTTGAAACGCGAAACGCAGCGCTCAGGAATGGTTTAAAACAGTTGTCATGTCAACTTACTGCAGTAAACAAAGCCAAGTCTGTAATGCTTGCCCCGCCTTTGCGCTCTTCTTATTGGCCCGCTGTTCTAGCACTGAAATATCAGCTGTCAATCACTCAGTCAATGCCTTCTGGCTTGGGATGACAGAGAGAGCTACTACCGTGAAAAACAGTAAAGCGCTGAAGATGAGAATGAAGACTGACAGATTGTGTTTTAGAAACCATGGCATCTAAAGTTACAAATAATGACGCATCTTAGTAGTGATCATGTGCTGAATGTTAATCCACCATCTACACTTTTTGAAGAGTGGATAAAAGACTTCCATTGGCTTCAAGTCCGCTATGAAAAGTCTGTGGGATGGAATTTTCTGGTAACTGTTTGCCACATCTAGCACGAGAGGTATTGTTTAACGCATATTCATATAATCGCCAGATGCTGTCCCCTGTGTAAGTGGCAGCTATATGTCAAATTTAACACCACGTAAACAATCGCAAATGGGCTTGCACTAAGTAAGCTAATATCGCTACACACGAAAAGACCGGTATTGCTATTAACATGACGTATGCATATAATTAGGTACAGTATATGTCAAAAACATCAGTGGAATATCAGACAGCACTAGTGAGAACAGTACAGTTATATCGTTAACAGGGTCATTCATGTCAAGCAGTGTGTGCAGGGCCGGTGAGCGATCCGTGTACCTTTTGCTCACTCAGTTATGTTATAAAAATCTATTTTCTTGTGATAACGGGATTTCGTTGAGACATATTTTCCTCACGCTTGCATATATTTTTTTGCTTGATAGTTTGATTACTATTGATTTCAAATGCAATACATATATTTGTATAACATTTGAAGTAACAGTGCTTATAATTGGTGGGTGCGACTAGATTTTGGCTGATGCACCTAAATTTTTAAAGTTAGGAGCACCGGTGCTAACAAGCAAAAAGGTTAATTTCGAGCCCTGAAATAGCATTTGGGAATTTTGGAGGTCAACAATTTTTGCTGATATTGATAAAACTTGGATTACATTAGCATTCATCAGCATTGAATTTGCAATTACATACTTACTATTAGACTTTATTACCAAAACATAACCAAAGCTGCATTTTACCCACAATACAACAGCAATTTAAAATGTCTAAAGAGCTTTTGGTTAGCTTTTAGTTAACATTATTTCTAACCTAGGTACCAGCAAGAAAGCTTAAAACTCGAAGAATGCACAAATATTGTACTAACAAAGCATTTTCAACCAGTGATGTGAACTGTGGTGCACTTACTAGTACTGGCCAGCTTGAGTTTGGTTTTTTCCTTGGCACTCCGGAAAATACCATTGGGTTTAACCTCGTCCTCCTCCTTCTCATTGTCTCCCTTCCTTTTCTGCATGTCGTTCTGCTTCTTTTTGTAAGTGGGCTTGGGTTGCCGTTTAGTCCTTTGCTCCAGCTTGCTCTCGCTGGAGTCTGAGTCATCGCCACTCTCTGAACACGATTCATATGGACGCTTGGGGGTACGGCGTGTCTTTCTGTCCTCCTGGGACAGCTTGTCCTCTTGTCCTTTGCTGTCCTTGCCCATATCAACATCGCCGGATGCGGGGGCAATCAGGTTGACAGAACATGGCTTAATTAGCTCAGAAATGGCATTGCCACCCTTTTCAGGTTTGTTTGTGTTTTTGTCCTCCTCTGAGTGTCGTGTGAGCCAGGCTTTCTTGAGTTTGTGGTAGTTAGACTGGCACACCTGCGCTGCCTGTCCATTGGGCAACGGGCTGGCTTTGCTGGGAGGATTGCTGGGCGTGGAATTCTCCTGGGCAATTGTGGGTGAGTCCTGAGAGGATCTGACGCTACCGCTCTCACTTTCAGAAGCGCTGCTGGAGCCACGAGACTGTGCAGCAGCCAGAGCGGCTTTGGCCTTCTTTAGGTGAACAAAATTTCTTGAGTAGGCCTGTGGGGTGCCAGCGGAGCAGGCCTGAGGCAGGCCACTAGGGGAGGTGGTTCTCGAACCTCCCTTCTGTGACTCAACAATAGAGGGAGGACGGCTATTGGAAGGAGAGCTCTCCAGTCTCTTACTAACACTAGTGGCAGAGATGGAAAAGGACATATCTGGTCCATTGTGGCTCTGCGTGCTAAATGTGCCGCTGGCAGCAGCAATGGCTTCATTAGTCTTAGTGCTGCACACAGAATTGGCCACAACTGCCACTGAGCTGGGAATGACACCCGGTGATGCTCTAATCAGGTTTTTGTTGTACTGATCACTGGGATCCTCCAAATTTGTGTTTGGTAGGATGACTCTCCCAGATTCCCTGTTCTCTGCCACTTTCAGGCAGTCCGCCTGAGTGCGTCCAGGAAACAATCTGCCACCAAGTTGCTCTTTGGAGGCCATCTTAGGACCTGGCGAGCCGTCGTATTTTATGCAAGTAGAAGGGCGGACAATAACAGATGCCATGGCTGCCTGTGGCTTCCCTTGGCTATTCTCTGAATGCCAGGCCACTTTCTCATGGCTCTTTGCTTCCCCGCCAGTCCGCCAGGAGTCTGCCGAGCCCAGCTCGGCTCCGCTTTTTTCATCCCTGAGCTCTGGGAGCAGGGTGGGCGGCTTCTGTTGTTCTGACACTTTCCCTGCCTGACTCACGGGCTGGATGGGGGTGAGTGTAGGTGGGGAAAGTCGACCGTAGCCCCCCTCCTTGCGGTCAAGCGCCTGCTGGGTGGGCGGAGTAAAGACTGGCGCTCTACGCAAGGCTGGCATACCCTTAGGCTGATTGGAGGGAGAGATGGCAGGGCTACAGCGATCGCTGACTGTCACCACTGAGGTACCGAGTGAGTGTATGGGTGCTTGTTGACTGAGCTGTTCAGAGATCTTGCCCATCAGTCCCTCTCCCTCTGGCTGATGCTTAATGAGAGGTGGAGGCTTGGACAAAGACTTGGTATGACTAGGGTTATACGAGCCCAAAGACAGGGGGCTAGAGGTCGGGGGTGCCTTGTCAAAGTACGGATTAAGATCTTTGGATTGAAAAAGTCGTGGTGGTTCATTAACAACACTATTTGACAGGGTAGTAAAGTAGTTGGTTTGAGGGAGAGACTGAGATACAGAGTGTTTGTACTTGTACAGATCAGCCATAGAGTGCTCTGTCTCTTTCTCGTGGCTTTTGGGCTGGGAGGAAATAGGACGTGGAAAGGGCTCATGCTCAGCCTCCCCAGCACGAATCTTGGCGGTGAAGGGGGCCATTTCAATGCTCTCCAGTAGGATGCGGCGGTTCTCCTCCTTGTATTTGCTGGTGCGGTCAGGTCCCTCCTGAGGCATACGTGGTGGTAGCTGCTGCTTGTTGTGGGGGGACTCCATGTAGAGACGGTGCAGCTCCTTGTTGGTGGGTGTCCGGCTGCGGTCTGGCTCTTGCTTCAGGTGAGCACTGGCCAGGCTACGCATGGGGTCCACGAACACACTCTTCTCCTGATCTCTAAAGAAACAATTTAAAAAGAAATAAATCAACACCAAAAAAATCATTACATTATGCTGTCAACATACTACTAGTGTTACTACTAGTGTAAATGATGTTTAACAGATATAGTGATGATGGACCAATACTTCTATTTTAGTATCACAGTGAGTGTGTTCCTACTCAGCTATTAGGTAACTGCAATGGGGTGGTTCAAATGGGTGCAGGCATTCGGCGGCTATAATAGAATAGTTTAATTATGTGCACAGTCACTGAATGAGCATACAGTGCTCCTATCACATGGCATTTGTTCCACCTCGGGTCACAAGGTATTTAACAGCTAGCAGCAGTTCCAGGCACTGCAGGACTGTGGGAATGGATTAACCGTGTGTGTTAATGACAGACAGAGACAGACTTAAGTGTGTGAGTGCTCACTCTTTGTGGAGTTCTCCGGGGGTTTTGGAGAGCGGCGGGCTGGAGTGTGAGCTGATCTTAATGGATCGATGAGGATCTGCACTGGCTGGTCTTCCCGGGACATGGCTCAAAATCCCCATGCTATCTGCTGAGGTTACAGGGGTGGGCTGGTGCAGCCAGGGGCTGGTAGTGTTCTGCAACGTGCACACACAAACGAACAGAAGGTCGTAATCCACTCAGGGCAACAAACACTTTTCCTGACAAGTCAGACCACGCATGTTTTGTGCATTAGAATCTCATTCCATGATGACACATTTTCACAATAAAGCATATTACATAAATCGATGCCAGTTGAGTTACATTATCCTAAAATATTCTGGGTCTGTAGGAGAACTATTCAATTATTTTCTTTGGCAACACACACTTCATGCCGCCATCTGAACTGAACATCTGTTCCTCAGTCAAATTTGACTAAATTACCATGAACATGTCTGAACTTTAAAAACTTGAAGATGTGTTCAAGCATGACAAACTAGCACATGCCCGCACACTAAACTTAATTATTATAGTGCATATTCTGGTTAAGCTCAAAACAAAACAATCCCTGACAGGAGTAGGAGACAAAGCATATGTCCTTTAAACAACCACAGTCATACATTGTTTGTCCTTTTTAACACAACACACGCTGCTTTAAATACACAGTGTATATAAATTAGAAAAGCCAGGGCTAGTCAACAGATAGACACACACATACCCTCCTCAGGCTGGAGTCTGAATTGACAGCATTCTCCGGATGTACCCACTTGTATCCAGGTGGGTAGGAGTGGGTACCGTTTGGGTACTGCCAGATGATGGGGTAGAGGCCAAGCTGGTTGTATGAGGCACCTCCATGTGTCTGGGCAAGCAGGGAAGGGGGTGGCTGCTGCTGGAGGTACTGCTGTGGCGGGTGGGGATGATGGTGGGCTAGGGCCAAGTGTCCAAGTCCAGAAGAGTCCAGGCGGGGATGGCTGCTCAAGATGGAGCCTGGTGGAATTGTGGGCAGCACGGTTTGCAGCAGGTGTGGGTGGTGAACAGAGTGGCTCATGGAGGAAGAAGGGAGAAGATGAGTTGGGTGGTGTGAGGTGGGAGTGAGACAGGTGGCGTGAGAAGAACCGTGTAGTGGATGCAGGTGCGGGTGCAGGTATGCGGTGTGGTTGCTGTCTGATTCAGGCCGCAGCAATGCAGGGTCCCGGTACACTGTGAAATGCTCATTTTTGTCAACAACAAGTGGGCTTTTTGTGGACTCGCATGGTGCCCCACGGGCTGGAACAGGTTTAAAACTAGATCGGGGTATGTCTGGCTCAGGTTTGAGTGCCAAGCGGCCTGTTGTAGGTAGGTTTTCAGGATGCCGCTGTTTATGTTTGGACACCTCAGGGGACGTATTTGGTTTGGGCTTGCAGGATTCATGAATGCTGTGAGCTTTTGACTTTAAGATGTCAGGTGAAGGATTGCACTTGGGCTTGAGGATGTCAGGGGATGAGTTTGATTTAGGTTTGGGCAAGTCAGGGGAAGGACTGGGTTTATGGGTTTTCCTGATCTCCTCCGTAACGGAGGCATTTTTAATAACCATAGAAGTGTACTGCTGCTGGAGCTTCCCTCTCTCACCCAGGGCTGCTGACTCACTAACTGATGTCACCGGTCTTATGACCTCAGAGTGGGCGAATTCGATTTTACTGCCTATGTTGCGAGAGTTCTGCTGCTGCTCACCATCCGGCCTCCTGCACTCTAAATGGGAGGTGTTTAGCACCAAATGTCTGGATTCAGGGATGTAGCCATCACATTTCTGTGACGCCAATAGGGCTGATACAGCCTCAGAGTTCTCTCTTGAACTTGGCTGCGTGTTGGAATCCTCTGTGATATCAATCACGCACTTGGGTGTGTGCGTCCGAGGTATCCCTGTGCCATAATGGTCCTTGGGGAGGGTGTTCACAGTGCTTTTCACAATGCAGCTTTGGACCTCCATTGGTCCCGAGGCTTGGTTCTGTGTACAGGAGGCCAGAGGAGGGAGCGGAGATCTCCGTTCTCCCAACCGCTCACTCTCTGCCAGCTGAGTCACCTCCAAAGCTACCGGCTTGCTGCTTTTATCCTGCATCTCATCCCAGGGGGACAGCCTATTGATGACACTCAACTCATCCATGGACTTGGATCCCTGTGACTTCTCCTCCTCCTCTGGAACTTTTGAAGTGCTCTTGCATTTGAGCTCATTCTCTGAACTGTGCTCCGATGAGGAGTCTACACTCCGCTTGTTAGAGTTCTCAGAGTCGCTGCTCTCAGAGAGGTCAGACGCCTCTGTTTTGAGCCGCTTGAGACTGCCCTTCTTGTCCTCTTCATCTGCTTTTCTCCTCTTGTTTGTTTGCTTGCTTTTGTTTTTAGAAGAGTCTAAAAAGGAAAGAAAAACTTTGTCAGGGAGAACTTTCAACAAAGAGTCAAAGAGCGCCACCATCATACATATCCATACAAGCCGAATGAAAAGAAACTCAATCCAAATGATTATTCAAGCACGGATAAGGATGATGTCATTTTGTACTTAGGTTAAAGGCTGATTGAATCTTAAGTGCTGCATTACAACTGTGATGGATGGAACTCGGGTAGAATTTATGCACACTTAAAAAGTCCATTTCACTGCGGTGGCTGCACTCACCTCATCTCTCAAAGACCCAACACCCTGCCAAATACTGTACTGCAGAAATTATGATGGAGGGATTTTAATGTTCTTTTACCAGACAGCCATCTGGCCAAAAAGCAAGCACTGAACTTATCCAGTAGAACAATTTTGTCAACTTTAATATATAGCACTACTGAGCCAAGCATAATAGCCTCTGTATAACATGAAAGCCATAATAGGGGAAAATCCAATCAATCCAGAGTATATTCATTATGTTTTAATTCCTCTGAGTGGGGAGCTGCAATTGCCGTTTCATTTCTCATCTAAGTTCAAATATGACTGAATTTAAGTTATTTGAGTTATTTTTATTTCATTTAGTCCATTAAGGATTATTAATAAAAATATTTCATATTTAGCATCTGCAATATTTACCATGTTTAGTACAAGACAAGAGTTGGGTTGGGTCAAGAGCTTAAAGCTCACAGTATTATGAAAGCAAAACAATTGGCTCAATATTGAGGCAAAAACTGTGCTTGAAAGGTCTTAGTAACAATGGACTATATGCGTGGCAAGTGTTTTTCAGCCAGTGATGAACTTCTGAAATAAGGCATGTACACTGCCTGACAAAAGTCTAGTTGATCATTTGGTATCAGAAGTGGCTCACACAAAAAGAAAAGGCCTCTAGATGAATCTTATCTTACCAAAACGAAATATGATCATGACTGGCCAATCCTGGAGCACCTTGACCTTCTTTGCTTTCAGGAGCTTTGATGTGGAGGCTGAAGTATGAGAAGGAGCGCTATCCTGCTGAAGACTTTGCCCTCTCCTATGGTTTGTAATGTAATGGGCAGCACAAATTTCTTAATACCTCAGGCTGTTGATGTTGCCTTCAACTCTCACACGCACCCATTCTGAATGTAACCCAAAACCATGACTGTTCCTTTACCAAACTTAACTGATTTCTATGAGAATCTTGAGTCCATGCTGGTTCCAATAGGTCTTCTTCAGTATTTGTGAAGATTGGGATACAGTTCAACAGATAGAAAAATCTACCTTCTGCCACTTTTCCAAATGATCAACTAGAAGTCAAGTTATTATTTGTTGCTCTTACAACTGGGATTGACGACAAGACTTTTGTCAGGCAGTGTATAATGTAATGTAATATAGTCCGTTAAATTGATTTAAGCAGTAATTTAGTGGTTGGCGCAGTAGAAAATAATACTGTGATAAAATAAATTTCCATATTTTAATGGTGCTGAGCAATGGAATTTAATGGAGTGCTTCTTGACCGGTGTGAGACCCACTTTATGTTGTGTCTTAATTGCAGTGAGTTTATAACATAACAATTCACTTGGCTTTTTCAAAATTAAAAGCCTTTGTGTACATAAAGCATTTATTAACTAAAATTCATTCTTTCATTAATTTTCCTTTGGCTTATTCCCTTTATTCAGCAGGGATCACCACAGCAGAATGAACCGTCCCTTATCCAGCATATGTTTTACACAGCAGATGCCCTTCCAGCTGCAACCCAGTACTATGGCCAATTTAGTTTATTCAATTGACCTATAGCGCATGTCTTTGGACTGTGGGGAAAACCGGAGCACCCGGAGAAAACCCACGCGTATACAGGGAGAACATGCAAACTCCACACAGAAAGGACATCTGACCAAAGCTGGGACTCGAACTAGCAACCTTCTTGCTGTCAGGTGAACGTGCTAACCACTGAGCCACCGTGTAGCCCTTTTTAATTAAAATAAATAACATTAATCTACTATAACAAATGAATATTGTAACAATGACCGGTGTTTTACCTTTTCCTCCACTCTCTGATTTTTCATCTTTGATCTTCTCATCGTCTGGAACACTACTGTCGGAGCCCTTTCGACGTGTAGATCGTGAGCCGCGTTGCTGACCTGGTGAGGACTGTGGCTGCTGCTGCTGCTGCTGCTGCTGCTGCTGCTGCTGGTGGTGTTGCTGAGATACCTGCTGCTGAGCATGCTGGGTTTGTTGTTGCTGCTGCTGCTGCTGTTGCTGCTGGGCCTGAGAGGCCTGTTTGGGTGTGGAGCCAGAGGAATTCATCACAGGTCTCGGGCTGTTGGCTTGGGCACGTGTGTAATGACCCTGAAATAAAAGCACGCACACATACAAAAAAAGAGCACAGACAACAAACACAAGCATGAGCAGCCTTGTATTGGTTTTAATTCTTAGAGAAGTTAAAAACCACCAATATCAAAAGCACTTCCTTTCCAGCAACAACTACACTATACACGTCATTAAAAATGTTGTCACAGAGCTAGGCTTAAAAGAAGAGTTCCTATGGCTCTCAGAAATGCTTTCCATCCCTATATCTAATATACATTTTCACCTAAAATCTATTTAAACCATGCAAGCATAGTGAAACTCTAACCGAGGTAAGCATTTACTGGAAAATTAGCACTTGCAATTTATTACTTCTAAAAATGATAACAGACAGGGATATGCAGGTGGTATTAAAAGCAGCTCTAAATCTATGGAGAGAGGAGGGGGTCGCGGCCCGGTACCTGAGTGATTCCTGTAGAGCCGCTTGGTCTCCCTCCTGTGGTCTGCTTGCATATCCCCAATTAATGTTTAAAACAGGGAAACAGAGAAGAAAGAAAACAAAACAAGAAAAAAAAACAAGGTGGAACAGAGAAGTCTTGTTAATGATGAAGGGAGCAATGATATGTGTGTTCTACAAGGCTCTAATTTTCTTAAAGACTAAAAAAAGGCACATAGGAACTTTACTTCAAAGCTAGCTACAGACACATTGTCCAGTAATAAAGCACAGACAGACAATGGGACAAGCATGCACAGGACAGAAATACACACTGGCACATGATCCAGGAAAGCAGGTGTGCTGATCATCTACTGAAGCAACAAAAGCACATATAGGCATGGTGAGATATGCAGGATACACTCACATGGGCAGTGTTGCTGTTCTGGCTAGAGCGAGATCTGCGTCGCGACGTGATACCGATATTTTCTCCTTTCAGTAAAGAATGGACCACATCATCCAGAAAGGTCATCTGTACCATGAAGGGGTCAACGTTCTGAGGCTCTAGTACCTGCAACAAACACATTTTCAAATCATAAGTGTAATTTTTTTTAAAAATTAAGTGAAATATATTATAATTATTAACTGATTAACTGAATTATTAAGAATAACTTTCTCAAAGTGATAGTACACCAAAGAAGGTAAATTTTGAATCATTTACCCTCCCTCCACTTGTTCCAAACACAAAAGAAAATATTATGAAGAAAACTGGTGGCTATTAACTTCCATAGTAGTTTTTTTTCTATGGATATATAAAATATAGAACAAGAATATATATAGATTTATACAACAGTTCTGTCTGGTTCTCGAATCTGTTTGGCTGGAAGCCGTGCAGTATTCCCGTAATAACAGCACTCGTGCAGCCTCTTCACCCTTGTGTATTACTCTGCCCACATAGAGTGACAGCAGATGAATAAACTCTCTACAGTCTGACAAATATAGCAGCTGCTGGACAGCATAATGTACTTTTGAGGCTTTTTCAGGTGAGAATGTAGTTGTTTAGATTGCAACTCTGCAGTTCATTTAAAAAGATAGTGCTTATATTAAATATTTATAATTCACCATGTTCGTGGTTATCAGCCTGTCATACTGAGCAGAGCAAAGATGGTTGATGTTCTGCCACAAGATGGCAACAGAGACCGCATAATAAGTCCTTAGGGAAGAAAAACTCAGCATAAATTTCACACAGCTGATCAAGTCATTAAAAAAAAGGGAAGTGATATTCTAAGTTGATCTCTCTCTTTTGTATTTTGCAGTGCTGCATTTATACCATAGTAATCTGGTAGTGTTTGCTTTGCTTTGGCTTTTTTTGTGTTAATTATTGTGGCCTCACGATTGCAACAGAGAAATACTAGGAAATCTCTGTAGACTGATGGCATTTCATGCCATTCAGCCTTATAATCCTAAAATGTGAGCAAAATCACCTTTTTTGTCATCACTTTAGACATTACGCTAGAGAATAATTCAAATGCTAGCTCTAAAGTAACGTTTGTGAATTAGCAAAGGTTTCTGCTGTTCTGACATCAGTTGTAGATGCAAATGAATGGCATAAGAAAGTACAAAAGGATACTTACTTAAGGTATTTACATTTAGGGTACTCTTACAAAAGGATCTGTGTTCGATTTTCTTTTTTTATACATGATTATGCCGCCGAACTGTTGTATAAATGCAATATTACACGAGTAGCAGTGTGATATGGCTGTATATTGTCACTGGTAGGGAGTTCTAAGGCACTCGGTCTGCGGCCTTGAGCCAACGCACGCCTCCCACCAGTGCAAATATCCAGCAATATTGCACTGCAGCTCGTGTGATATTGCTCATATATGGAACTAATAGCCATTGACTTCCATAGTAGTTTTTTTTCTACTATGGTAGTCAATGTCTACCAGTTGTGTGAAAAAGACAAAAAAAAAAAAAAACACAAACAGTTTTGGAACCACACTTGAGGGATAGTAAATTCCCATTTTTGGGGTAAAATATCCCTTTATTAAAATGACACTTTTTGTCCTTAGTATGTTTACCATGTAGTAGACACTTTATAAAAACATTTGAGGTAATGCTACATTTTGACTTCCTATCATTTTTTTCCCAACATACTTTTTATATTATATTATTTTACAATGCCTACTGTAAAATGAACACAACTAAGACATGATGTTAAATGTACCTGGTCATTCATGACAACCATAGTGCGACTGAAAAGATCGTGGTGGGTGATGATGCCCGTGAACCACTGGGTGGCTGAGTCCTGTCTGTAAACTCGTACGCGGTAGCCATTCAATGAATAGGGACCTGGAGACACAAGGAACCAGAAAAGATGAAATGCATATAAAAAAATATATAGAGAGAGCATACTTTTTTCTTTCTTTTTTCATTCATTCATTCATTTTCTGCCACCAGGGCCGGGTCACGGGGGCAGCAGTCTTAGGGAGAGGGTGCTCGCTGCAGAGCCATTTGAGTAGAGCTGAGCTACAGTGAGGGGGAGCATGAGCTCTCGCTCTGCCTCCTGTAAGCTGTTTTAATGCGTACACCAACCCCACCCCTAACCCTACCCCCAGTGACATCACTCATAGAAGAAGTGCAAAAAAGGTGGAGCTCAAGCTCAAGCTCCCCCTCGCTGGAGCTCAGCTCGCCCAAATGGCTCTGCAGCGATCACCACTTGGTCTTAGGAGGGAACCCCAGACTTCCTGCTCCCCAGACACTTCCTCCAGCTTCTCCGTGGGGATCCCGAGGCATTCCCAGGCCAGCTGAGAGACATAGTCCCTCCAGCAACACCTCCCAAGGTATTCGTCCAGGACGCATCCGAAACAGATGCCCAAGCCAGCTCAGCTTCTATCTATGTGGAGGAGCAGCAGCTCTACTCCAAGCTCCCCCTGAGTGTCAGAGCTCCTCACCCTATCCATTAGTAATTTTTAGCTGCTTGTATCCGAGATCTTGTCCTTTCTTTCTTTTTTTCTTTCTTGCTTTTTTCAATTCTATTCTACCGCTGTTGTTCTGTAGACAAATTTTTGGTGTGTGTTCTTTTTTTTTTTTTTTTTTTGAGCTGACTCTGTCTACCGTCGCTGTAAAAACAATGAGAGCATTCCGCAAAGCTTTCCTTCTGTTCATTCTGGGTGATCTTTAAATCAGAGAACGACACTTCAATCCTTGTATCTGTGATATGCTGTTAGCTGCAGTGAGCGCTGGCAGGTGTCCAAACTGACTGGAGCTCATTAGTGTGGGGCAGGTCATTCCTATTAATTACTCCTGAACATTGCTCATATGCCCTGCTACAACAGCTAACCCTTCACTGTCCTTGTCCATACAACAACCCTGTTGGCCAGAGGAGAACTGGAGCGTCGTTTCTCCCATGTTTGTTCTCCACCTCTGTCAACTAGTGGAGTTTTGGTTCTTTGCTACTGCTGCCTCTGGGTTGCTTGATTGGAGATTGGAGATTTCTATGCTGGTTAGAACTACACCAGAATTTGCTAAATCTGCTAAATTGGATATGCTAAATCTGTTTGTGAAGTGTGATATCACGCGAAGCGGCTTTCGGGGCCAAGCGCTCAATCAAACTGTATGAGAAGACTCAACAAATGATAATAATAAATGTTTACAAAGCACGGTAATACTTTTAAAAATCCCGATCCCAATATATATCAATGGCTAATACCCGATTATCAAAAAGTGATTGATTTTTTATAAATTGTTCAAATATTGGTGTCTGTGATGCAGCATGTCCTGATGTGTGTACACAATCATTTTATATAAAATTCACTTTAATGTGTTATATTAAAAAGTGGTCATAAATGAATATTTTCTCTATTCAAATAAGTAGCGGCACAACTTTAGCGGATATGTTCTTCAATCTAAAATTTGGTAATGGTTTTATTTTATGTATAATTTTCTAATCTATGTAAAGCTGCTCTCACACAATCTACATTGCAAGTATTGCTATAGGTAAGGCTGGGCGATATGGGAAAAAAAAAATCTAGGTTTTTTATAAAGTTTGACCTATTCATGATTTTGATTTTTTTTTTATTGTGTCACTAGTCTTCTCAAAACCTTACAACAACAAGACTGAAGTAACATTCTCTTTATAAGTAATTTAAAAAGCCATCTGGTTAAGGAACATTGTATGTTTAATGGCCATGTCATACAAAAATCGGTCAAGGAGTAAATAAATGTAAAACAAATTCACGAGTTAAATAGCGTTGCTGAAGATTTGAATAAGAAATATTAGTGTAAATATTGCAGTTGCAGGAACACAGAGGTATTTTTTGCAAGTTTTGCTGAGCCTAGGAAAGATTGGCTGTCAGCTCGGCTTTGACTTTGTCTTCTGATTGAATGACAGGTTGTAATGCTGCTGCCTTTTTCTTAAAAAGATACAATGGAAGAAAAGGACTGAACATGGAAACTGTAAAGCCTAATTTAACCCAATGTGTGAAGTTGTGGACGTATAGCAGGAGCAAATACAAGAATCAGATGTGTGTCTAATATAAAATAATACATTTAATCTATTTTTCTTCTTTCCCCCTTTTAAATATCGATCATTGTATGCGCTTTGCTCCACTCTCTGTATTATGCTGCCTGATCTGTCTGGTTTTCAACTAGGTCCGCTAAATGACGTCATGGGGGCGGGTACTTTCATTTTCACTGCTACAGTCCCTCACCTCTACTCGTGTTCAAAAGATCGGCGCGGTTTTTCACATGGCAGTCTTTTACGTCCTTCATACATGTTGAGATCGAGTTTATCGACTTGATGAGGGTATGTCTTGACAATCCACACCGACGTGCAACAAGTAAAATCCTACATGACTTCACGCTTTAACAGGCAATCAAGCAGGTCGCACACCAGAAGCGCCATGACACGGGCCGCACATGACAGTTTAAACTATCACACACCAAACGCGCACATTCGCATGATATTTAACATGAAACTAATCAGATGGGGCTCTGTGGGCTGGCTGAAATATGAACTGCTTCGTGAATCATGGCTGGGCTGCGCCGGTGTGTGTATAGAAACCTGTTTAGAATTCTAAAATCCATGGCGCTGCGTGGTGCTGCGCAGCCCGTCGCCGAGAGGCGCTTCTGGTGTGCTTTCTGCTTCATACAGAGAGTGGACCAAAGCACATTGGTGCCATTATAATGTATTTAATATATATATATATTTTTTAAAAATCGCGATTTCTCGATTTGATTCAAAATTAAATCGTCTTAAAACGTAAATTCGAATTAATCGAAAAAATTGGAAAAATCGCCCAGCCCTAGCTATAGGATGAAAAATATAATTAAAAAGATTGATTTAAATATATAAAGATGATTTGTCAACCCAGGATGCATCACCCATACATGCGCTTACATGTACACAAAGACCAAGAGACGACGTCGGCAAAAAACCCCCACAAAACATAAAAATTTTCTTTTCTTTTTGTACTTCGTTTCCCCGCCAAAACCTTTGGCTTTGGGATACTTTCCATTCTGCCCTTGTCAACTGCCAAGTTCAACAATTATCACTAATTGTGGGCCTGGAATTTTGCTATGGACTTTGTAAACAAGACCTTCTGCCAAGACCACAACAACAACCTCTGCCTGAACTAGTCAGGTACATCAAGCGGTCTGCCATATTTACAAACCACATCGGGATTTGTTGTTGACTTTTCGGCACTCATATTACTTCTGTGATGTGACACACGTCCAAGTGAAAAGGAAGGGACTTTTTTCATTTTGGATGCCAAAAACTTTGCATTCTGTAGCAGAAAGGAGTGAGAACTGAATGTGAGCTGGCAGTCAGTTTGGGAAAGATTATTCCCTTGCTGAAACCTTGTGAGCAGGAAATGGAGGCTGAAGGTCAAGCCAACATCACAATGGCAACATTTCTTTTTTTAAATCTATTGTTATTTGCCATTATTACAATTAGCACTACAACCTAAATACATAGTGCACAATAAATATTTTGTTGTTCAACAATTTAATCCCAAAGCAAGTAATCAATTGAACAACAAGTGAATAATTTTATCACAAATTAAGTCAAAAGGATCATATTTAAGTTAAATCACACAATGGTAGGCTCACATTACTGATGATGTAATCTAAATGACACAAGATTTAAAAAAAAAAGAGGAAGAGCCTTTAATTATCAATTATACTGCTCATTTACTCCCGATTCACACAGGGCTTCAGCGTCAATGTTTGACGGAGGATGTGTCTGAAGTTAGGACTGACGCGATCGTCATAGCAGCATCAGCCAATGAAATTAGTTCGCATTAGGCTACATTCTGAGAGTGTTTGGATAAAGTGATCTGATTGGCTGACGCTTCCATTGGCGCTTGAAATGTTAAAAAATTCCCAACTTCTGCAGCTAGCAACATGGTTGAAGCAGCGCCGAAGAATCCACAACTGTTTACCTATTCAAAGTGAATGGGAAGCGTTGACGCTGACACCCCATTTGAATTGGGATGTTAGAGCAACTGAAGAAATGTAAACATCTTACCTTGCATAAAAATTTCCTGAACTTTTTGGTCTTTCACCCAGGCTTTCACTTCTTCATGGAGATGTGGATAGTCCCTGAGAACAGGACTTAAACTGTCCACTTCATCCTATAAGAAACACAAAAACATAAAAAGGTTAGCATAACACATTCAAAACTACAAGAACACAGTGCAAAAATTGTAACAGTTTAGCTGTAACGAATCCCCCGAGAAGCCATTTTTTTGGTAATTATTGCAAAATAAAGGTAAATGTTGTAAAACAAAACAAACTGAGATTAAGCCACATTTAAAATTGCTCAGTTCCACTCTTTTCAAGAGGAATAGGCAAAATCTAAAGTTTCAAGTGAGAGGGAAAATAATCTCCAGGTAGATCACAAAAATTCATCCTATTGACTGACATAATGGCGCTTGGTTTGAAAGTGACCTCTATGAAAAATTTCCATCCGATTTTACAAATGTGACCACAACCATGTGCTATGAAACATGAGAACACATCTCTTCTGAGATTAGTTGTAAGTAGTGGTGTAACGCATCACAAATCTTATGGTTTGGATCACATTATGGTTTTTTAGTCACGGATCTATAGTCACATTTTTACGCGTCGAGTTAAATGAATATGACGGTGATTTTAATCTTTACCATAAACCTTAAACTGTTATCCCAATACTTTTTGGACTGTTGGACTATTGGACTGTTTGTAAAATTCTAACTAACTCAAAAGACTAAAGACTGAATCTCTTTCTTGATTTTTGCATTTTTCAAACACAGATTTGAATGCAGCGATTCAAAAGATTAGTAAACATATGCAATAATAATCATTATTAATTTATGTTGTGTGGGTGTTCAGATCCCGACCTTTTAATGATTAATTCGTGCAGCTTACACTAAATGCATTAATGCAGGCTAAACAAGCAGTGACAAAACATCTTTAATAACCTAAGAAACCCACAACATCTCAAATAACTTACCACAACTTCTTCTGTCATCATAACACTACAGAAATGCCTAAATGCTTTCATACATGTGATTTGAATGACACGATCATTGCGATTGTTCCAAGTTTAGAGTTAATCTTCAAATATAAAAATGTATTAGCCTAATCTGTGTGTCACGTGTGTGCCGAACCACCATGGGTTGTGATCTGTACAAATCACGGATCAACGGTGATCTGTTACACCCCTATATGTAAATCTAGGATTAATCGCAAGTCCCGTCACTTAAAATGACAATTCTGAGGTGTCGTTTATGTTTAGCAAAAAACGTTAAAAGTGGTAGAAAAGTGTAAGGTTAATAATCCAAACAAACCCCTAGCCTTAGTGCAAACAACAGTAATACGCTTTCCAATCACTACTAAACGCTTCCTGTCGCAGAGAGATTTGAAGGATCTGATGAAGGCCAGTGACCCACAGAATCTGAAACAAGCACAGGAAGGTTCTCACACCTCCTCATGCACAGCAACCCATACATTTCCGCTTCGCAGGAGCCCAGCAGTCAAGCAGATGTGTGTGTGTGTCTGTGTGTCACGGTCTGGAAGGGTGAGAGGGATATCCGCCCTGCACTTCCATTAATTGTTAATGGTGATGAGGAGTCGAGAAGGGGGGTGGGGGATTGGGGGGCTGACAGGAGCTCTAGTTATTTACACAATCACACAGCAGGCCTGATGAACACATGAACTGAGCCCTGGAAATACCCCGCTGCTACCACACACACACACACACATATACGTACATACATACATACATTACAGTGTAAACAAAAGCCTATGCTGCTTTGGTGAGAGTGCTGGTGAATGACAGCACATGTCAAAATCTTAGGTATTTCAATGGGACCCTATTCTACATTTGTGCACATTTTATATTTATATAAAATTATTTTGATAGTTCTATTTCTAGTCCATGTAAACTTATGGATGCACCAATATGGAATTTTTGACTGATACCAATAAGCGATAAGTTAATTTGGAGGCAGACAGTCGATATGTTAACCAATAAATATAAATATGTTTGATAAATATAAATTTGTTTTATATTTTAACATTTTTGCAAACATATGAACTGCTCATTTTATTTTAGAACCCTTAAAAACTAAAAAACATAAATAAATAAAACCAAGTCACTAACAAATTCAAAACAGCAGTAAATAATAAAAAAATATTAGCCAGCTAGCACGTGAAGTGGTTCAACTAGCAGAAATAATACATCATTCTTTGCAGGGGTGCCCAAAGTTTTTCTTAAAAAGAACCAAAAACCATACTTGACTGAGGACTCAAGCAAAAAGCTAAATGTACAAAACCATATGATATTAAATTTGCCATGGGTAATTTCTTAATAAATTTGCTAATATTTAAAAATAACAACAAAAAAAAACTTTGCTTAAAAACATATTAATTAATGATGGAGAATCATTTTTAAACCTTTTATAATGAACATTTTACAGTAAAAACATAAACAATCCCATTTATAACACAATGGAGTTCAATGCTGATTACACCAATCGAGCTGCTCCTGCCTTTCCTTGATTTGCTCGCCGATGTCTTGTGCATCTGTCACCTGACAGTATTTACATTTTAAAAGTCTGATTTATTTACAACATTTAATTGAATCATTTAAATTTTAGTTTTTTTTTTTGGAGCTTCTTAATAATATATATATAATTTCCGTTCTCCCTCTCTTTTCAGATGGGATGGTGGGTCAAACCAAAGGTTACCGAGGGCCAACTTATATTAACTCTATGGTATGCTCACACACAACAGGAAAGAGCAAACATGATGCATCTCATGGCTTTACTTGTAAACTAATGCCTTGTTCTAAACATGGTAAGAGCTGGGAATTACAGAAGTGAAATGTCTTACCCCCGACTTCGATGCATTGTTCAAGCAGTGTTTCAGATGCTATTTCTAGGTAGGAAGCAGAAAATAAATCCTAATTCCGAGCTGTCTGGAACGCAGCGTAAGTGTTGCAGTAGTTCGTCTTAATAAGATAGGATTGCATCATCAGTGTGCCTAATCCTAGGTGAAAGTAAACTGCTACATCCTACTCTCCCTAGTGACAACCATCACATTACTCACACACACATACACACGCCTTCTCTCCAGCTTCTATTTTAAAGCGAGAGCCTTGCAGGACACATTATTTATTTATTGCCCTGCAGGTTTCACGGGGCACTTCTCTCTCGGTGGCATCCAAGAACAGAATCTGTTAGGACAGCCCGGTTTTTTTCCTGGGTCTTCCACTTAACAATGAGAATGAGCTTTTAAAATATATTGAATTTCCAAATGTTTCCAATCAGGATTCTAGCAGGAATGTAAAGCATTATCAAATGAATGTGAATAAGGACAATGAGATTTAAATCAGAGAGCGAGACGTGAGCTCATTCCTGAAGTCTGGTCAAGCACCTTCAGCAGGAGCTGTAATCTCATCTCTCACACACACCCCCTTGGTGAAGGACGGAGCAGATGCACTTTTCTTTCCATCCCCCCACCCCCATTCTGCACCGGGCTGCCATCCATCACTTTAACAGCAATATGTTCCAGGATTTTCCACATGGCGCTGCGGTGGAAGACACTGCGAAAGCAGGGTGGTGCTCGGCACAGGGGGAATAGGAAAGTGCTTCCAGATCCAAACTCTGACCCAGATAAAAACAGCTTCCTTCCCCTCTCTCTTGCTCTCCGTCCAGCAGAATGGAGCCTGGGAACAAGGCTGGGGCGTGGTGCTCCAACTCTTTCTCCAGCCTCCGTCTCCATGTTTCCCACAAACAGTCTCTCCGTCCAACAGCTGCTCAGAAGTGTTCCTGGCTCTCCATAGGAATCACGTTTCAGAGACATCTTGTTCAGATCGTCCGTGTGACATGTTTCATTCATATTTGCCGTTCTAAATTGTGTCTGCCACTGAATAAATACCACGATTCGGTACTTTGCAGACCCATAAGAATGTGCCATAGGGCGCTTCTCGTAAAATGACACCGTGATTCCTAATGAGGTCCAGAATCCATGTCTGCGCACCATCTGTGTTTGTTGACAAGCTGATGCTGATCGGATGAGACCGGGATTTCACACGGGCTAGAGACAGAGGTGGTATAAATACGGTCATAGAATGCTTCCTCCGATTGTGCAATTACTTCTGACAGCTATTAAACTGTTGGTTAGTGCTTTATATATAAACTGGAAATTAAAAGATAACAATCAAACCTGTTTCATGGGCATTCACTGATGGAATATTAATAAATAAAACTAGAACACTGCAATTATGTAGTTTGGTGATTCCCAACCATGTTCTTGGATTACCCCCAATATTATCTCCCGTGTCTGACACACCCATCTAATGAGCTGATGAAAACTAATGAGTTGGGGAATTCTTTCAACCTCTCATAAAATTCCAGGATTCTTAAGCCTGACAAACTTTGCTGAGCAAAGGTAAATGTGATCAGCCTTTTACTTTCTGTCCAAAAATGAGCTTTTGATCTGAACAATCATAACAAGACTTTTATATGCAGTGACAAGCCAGAAAGTCTGACACAAAGTATTGTCAAATAAATGGTGGAAAGAGTGCTGAAACCTCATATTAAAGTATCCATTACTCCCCAAAAAAATGTAGTCTGAGTAAAAGTGCCAGTTCTAAAATAGTACCTAAAGCATGACTAAAAAGTAGCCTAAAAGTACTCAAGAGCAAATAAGATTGTGAAAATAACCTAGGGACAGAAATAAAAAATGTAGCTTACTGGGGTTGAGCCGATAGACGATGCCATCGGACATTGCCGATGGCCGACAAACTTCATCGTGATCCATTGTCCTGCCCCACATTTATATTGATATATAACTTTTTATTTGCATGTCATCTTATATTGGCAATAATAGTCATTTTATGAGCTGTGGTAAATGTTACAAATAGCTGTCGCTTGCACGGATGACAGCATCGTGAGGATTAAATGAAGGATTATACAGCACCTCTCACGCTTAAAATGTGTTGATTCCATGGCAAACGATGTAACCTGCAAACCCCGTCCCACAGACTTTACAGTGAATGGCTTTAATCATTTTCATAGCGGACTTGAAACACTGGAAGTCTTTCATCCACTCTTGGAAAAGTTATAATGGCGGATTAACATTCAGC